CAAGCCGAGGAACGCCAGGGCTTACTTACTTACACAGAGGAAGCAAAGATTTTTCCCTAGAGCCTTCAGAGGAAGCATGTCCTTGCCAATTCAGGTTTCTGGCCTCCAGAAACATGAGAGAATACATTTATGTTGTTTCAAGCCACCTGGTTTGTTACAGCAGTGTTGGGAAACTAATACTTCCTTCAAGGTACCCTGAGTCTATGAAAAGATTTGGTTCTGGGAATTGGATGCATAGCTGGCTTTGTTATCTATTGTGATGATTCAGCACAGGGCTCAGTTTGCTAGGCCTAGAGGCCAGACATTATTGAGCTGCTTATCCGTTTTGGTCCTAAAAACACATGACTAGGCTGCCCAGGTAGCTCCGTTGGTTAGAGCATTGTCTCAATATGCCAAGGTTGCGGGTTCGATCCCCAGTCAGGGCACATATAGGAAGCAACCAATGAATGCATAAATAAGTGGAACAATAAACTGGTGCTTCTCTTTCTCTCTCTCCTTTCCTCTCTTTCTAAAAATCAATAAAAAATTTTTTTAAAGAATACATGATTATTAGCCACTGCCTCACATTCCCTTCATTAGACTATTTTGATTGCCATGCTGGTCCTGCTGCCTGTGGGTATCACACCACCTTTTGTCCTGTAAATGAAATTCTGCTCTTGCCTCTAGTACCTAAGGAAGCAGGTTCCCATCCCATCTTAGATCAGCAATGTTTCCTAGCATACCTGGCAAACAGCCAGAACAGCCTCTTAGAATCTAATCCACGACACCATCAACGATAAGGTACACTATTGTTTTGTGAACCGCTTAGGCGGAAAGAAAACCACTGGCAAAGTGTGGTGACACACAATATATAATACCTCCTCATATCAGAGACATGACAAATGTGCATCTTAGGATGCATAAAATACAGTGTTTCTCAAAGCGTTGGTGAAGGGAGTCATTTGAGCTCTTTTAAGGACCAGAGGTAGAATGGGAGTGAGCAGTTCATACATGATAATCCACTCTAACATGTTTATCTCTCTTAAAGCCTGAGATTCTTTGTATTCTTTATCCCAGCGTACTTCTGACAACTTAACTTTATTTAATGTGGACTGCCATTGAGCCCAGATTTCAACCAACTATGAAAACCCTTAGAACTGTTTCCAGCCGCTTGATACAGCATCCTGAATCCAAAGTCTCTAGTATGCATACCTATACTGATAAATTCAGCCTTATATCAAATTATGATTATACTTTCTGATCTAGCACCCTCATATTTTATTTGCCAGAGTTTACGCAAATTTTTTAAATCCTCACCCAAGGACAAGTTTCCTGATTTGGGGGCGGGGGGAGAGGAGCATCAATATGAGAGAGAAACATCCCTCCGTTGCCTCCCTCACATGCCCTGACTAAGGATCAAACCTGCAGCCGAGGTGCCCTGACTGTGAATCAGATCCCCAGCGCTTTGGTGTTCGGGACGATGCGCCAACCAACTCAGCCACCTGGCCAGGGTGATGCAGGTATTTTTTCAGTGTAAGCCTCCTTCTGGGTCAGATTCTGTATTTGTCTTTCTGTGGCATACGAGGGTCTGACTGTGTGTAAGTTGGGGGAAAATGAGGAGTGGCAGAGATGAGGAGGAGGCATGGCTTTCTCTGTCAGTGAGGTTATTAAGAGTTCTCAAGCAAGCAAGGTGGTAACCGCATCATCCAGTGGGGGCTGTGACTGAGTCTCCTGGCAAGTGAGTCCCATGGGGGACTGAGGCTCACGGATACTCTGACGCCTGTGCATCCTCTTACACATCACCACTCTGATCCTCGAGGTCCTGTATATCTTCACCTCAGGGAACTGGTGAGTCATGACACTGTAAGTTGGCAACTCATGGGGTCAGATGTTTGTGTTTGACTCTCGATCTTCGCAGCTTTTCAGCTGCGAGCAGATAGAGACTCCTTTGCTGTGGCCTCAGAAAAACCTCTGCTGATTTTCAGTCTGCGCTCTGATGGGAGGATTTAGGAATTAGAATTCATCTTTCTTTAAGCCAGTAGTTTTCACTGTAGTGACTTCTGTCTCCCCCGAGGGGACATTTGGCAATACCTGGAGACGTTTTTGGTCATCTCAGCTGGGGAGGGATGTACGTGTTACTTGTATCTGGCGGACAGAGACCAGGGATATTGTTAAATACTCCCTAACACATAGGACAACCTCCTGTAACAAAGAAGTATCTAGGCCAAAATGTCGGTAGTTCTGGGGCTGAGAAACCCATGTGAAGCTATTCACCACAGCTAAGAAGTCACCATCCCTTTTCACATCCCTTTGTGCCTCAGGTATGCCGATATGCCCCTCAGCAGTCTCGTATCTTTTGCCAAAAAAGATACTGGGACATGACCAGTTATCAGAAGCACCATTATTATTATTTTTTTAATATTTTGTTTTATTTTTGATTTTAGAGACAAGGAGGGAGGGAGGGAAACACTGATATGAGGGAGAAACATAGATTGGTCACCTTAGGTGCACACCCCAACCGGCGTCTTCCCTGACCTTTCAGTCTGCGGGATGAGGCCCAAGCAACCGAGCCACACCCACGGGGGCAGAAGCGCCGTTATTTTATGAACGGTGGAGGCAAAACCACTGTCACACCATAACACTACAGTCGATTTTCAGCACAGGTCCTGGTCTGTGTGCCCTTCCTACTGCTGTGTGGCAGCACTCAGCACTGCCAAAGCCACTTCATGGGCACGTTGTTCTAGATGATAGGTGACATTGTGACTGCTTCTCTTAGAGTCATGTCCCCAACCACTTGCAAACCTTCAACTGCCTTTAGTCCCAATTAGGCCCAATAACTAATCCTTGAAGTCCTGTTGCCTGTCACACCCCTGATACAAATTTCTGTTCCTCAGTAGCTAAGTGTGTTCCCGTGTGCAAGCGTGTGCGCGACGCTGGGATATTGCCTAGCTTGCGGAGGAGCTGGAATTACTGGAGACCATGTTCAGGGCCACGAATGAATACGAGGAGCTGCAGCTCCGGGGCTGGACTGCGGCGCCCGCCCCGCCTCCACGGCTGCCTGCGCTCGGGCGTGCTCCGCCGACCGCCGCCTCACTTGCTGTCCGAGGCTGGAGCAGACACAGCTCTTCCCGGGCAGCTTAGCGCACGCTTGTGCTCCAGGTGCAAGGGAGGCTGGATTGGCAAATGGCTGGCCTGTTCAGCATCTGCAATAGGAGACAAGTCCCGCCACCATTGACCTTCCTCAGTTATAGAAAAACAGTGGCTTCTGATTGCCTACAAAGAACGGCAAAAATCCACTCATAGCACACACTCCCTTCTGCTCAAGACGGAAAACCAGGAATTGTCCTGGACTCTCCTGGTCACTTAGTCCATTGGCAGGCGGTTGGTTTTGTCTCCAAAACATAGTCTTGAGTCCATTCTCTTTTCGTCTCTTGTATTAATAAGTTAGTATGGACTATTTCACGCATTTCATTTGGATTACTGTCATAGCCTCTTGTCTTCCCACTTCTACACTTTTGCCCTTCAAATCCATATATTTTCTCCAAAGCAGCAAGACTCTGCTTCTTCATAAGTCACCCAAATAGAACTTTGCTTTAGCCCTGACCCGTGCAGCTCAGGTGGTCGGGCATCATCCCGCGAAGTGAAAGGTCGCTGGTTCCCTTCGCAGTCAGGGCACGTGCCGGGTTGCGGGTTTGGTCCCTGGTTGGAGCATGTACAAGAAGCAACTGATCGATGTTTCTCCCTCACATCGATGTTTTTCTCCCTCTCTTTCTCCCTCCTTTCCCCTCTCTCTAAAAATAAATAAATAAAATCTTTTTAAAATGTATTCATTTAAAAAAAAAAGCTTACTTGCTTTAAAGCCTTCAGTGGCTTTTTCAAAAACTTCAAATGAAGCTAAAGTCCTCATTTGGTCTCTAAGGAGAGTGATCATACATCTCATTTTACTTAGGATGATTTTTAAGACAGAGAGAGAGCCTACTGTGTTCCCAGAAATGTGTGGTTTGGACAATTAAGTTCCTGTCACTTTACCTGTAAGGCCCTGCATCCCTGTTCCTCCCCTCCCCTCACTAAGTGCCATTTACACTCGTCTTTTTTTGACTCTTTTTCTCTACTTTGGGACCTTTGCAGATTCTATTCCTTCTGTCTGGTACCCTTTTCCTCCCATTTCCCCACAGAGGTTTCTCCTTGGTATCCTTCAAGGCTTAGCATAACAGGTACTTCTAAGTTTCCTTTCCTTAGCTTTGTCTAACCAGCTCCCTCCTGTGATCAGAGGTTCAATTGTTCTGTCTGCTTGTTCAATCTCTGTCTTACTCGTTAGAGTGGAAGCTCCCTGAGGGTCTGGATTGTATGTTTTAGTCATCGTTGTACCCCAAGGCCCAACAGGGAACCTGGCATCTAATGGGTCCCTTAGTAAAGAATTTGTTAAACAGGTAGAGGACCTTCATTTCCCCAACCCCTGACAAGGTTAAGCTAAGATGCTGACTCGTCCTCTTTCCCACGACTCACAGTGATACTCAGTAGCAATTTGTGTCATATTAGCTTGATTGTCAGTTTCTCCCTCTGGATTACATAAACCCTGAGAAAAGGCATGTCTCTCTGGCTGTGCTTAGAACAGGGCAATTCCACACACAGGAGTCTGTTGGGTCTTCTGCAGGGTCACCTGCCTGGGGGCTGGGGAGCAGGAGACGCAGGTGGCCCTGGCAGCCTGGTTCCGTAGTGGCAGAGCACAGGGCGCCCATGGGGAGTACAGGGACTTCATGGAGGGCTCGGCACACAGCGGGACTACAGGCCTCGCCTTTCTCTGTGCACAGCTTCCCTTGACTTTCTCTGCTTCACTCTCAGTCTCCCTCTTAGAGGCTTCTTGAACCCCAGAAAAATCTGGGCACATCCAGGGCCCAGGCCTTCAGCAAGGCAGATGGCAGAGCTGGGCGCAAGGCCCCTGGATCCTGGGGAAGAGCTGGAGAAGGGTGCGGGGAAGAACTTCCCGCTACTACCCTAACCTGATTCTGTGCTGTCTTTAGATGTGGACCCCAAGACCAGCGTAATACCTACAAGCACAAGCAAGCCAGGATCAAATGCCATATCCAGGAACCCAGTGACGACTTCAGCTCCTCCAGCCCAGCAAAACCCATCTACACTTGCACCATCCAGTGGCTCCAGCGTCACCACTCCCGCTCCAGGCGTCCAGAAGGATGTTCAAGGTTCAAACCAGAACACTCCATCCACATCAGCAATTGTCCCAACTGTCTTGATGAAGCCAGGAACCACGACCAGCCCAGAAGGAAATAACACAGATCCCTCTGGAACCCAAAGTAACCCCAGTGTCACTACAAACATCATGACCACTAAGGGAGGAAGTCAGACGAGCCCTCAAACGCCACCTGCGATTACCACTGTCCACATGTCTCCTGCTGTCTCTTCCCAGAATACCATAGCAGGCACTCAGCAGGTGCCTTTGAGTCCCAGTGCTCCGAACACCCCAGGGAGCCCACCCAAGGGGCCCAGCAGCGTGACTGCATCTTCACGTAGTCCTGGCATGATGACAGGTCACACCACATCTCAGCAGACAACTGATACACTGAGTAAGTAATGCCTTTTTACTTTCAAGCAAGAGGAAACTTTTACAGTCTTGGAATCTATACAGTTGCTCAGCGGGAAGATGGAGGTTCATGCTGAGGGTTAAAGGTCGTTGAATATACTCCACCTGCATTTGAGGAGACAAAGCCAAGAGGGCTGTGCACCCTGAGGAGGTCGGTGGTATGCCCTGTCTGGGCGAGCACATAAACAAGCAAGCAGTCTCTTCATGGGTGGGACGCTGGGAGGTCGCAGTGGCAGGGTGTTACTAGAAATTCTCCAGAACAGTGTTTCTCAAGTGAGACTGATGGCTGTCTGCCATAACAATACACATTGGTCTTACACATATGTGATGCAGTACACACACATATAAGATACATGTAACATACACATAACTGATAACTAATTTTCACTAACCAGGGCTTATCCTTACTATAGGTGACATGCCCTGATGTTTTCTATTCCATTCCGTTCCCTCCACCCCTTTACTTATTTATTTATTTTTTAAAAAGATTTTATTTTTATTGTTAGGGGAAGGGAGGGAGGGAAACATCAATGTGTGGTTGTCTCTCGAGCGCCCCCTACTGGGAACTGGCCTGCAACCCAGGCATGTGCCTCATGGGAATTGAACCATGTGACCCTTTGGTTCGCAGGCTGGCCCTCCATCCACCAAGACCAGCCAGGGTCCCCCACCCCCTTTAAAGGGTAGGCCTTAACCCAGTAAATTAATTTTATAGCTCACTGATGGATCCTGACCCATGTCAGATCTATTGAATCAGAATTTCTGAGTTCAAACCTGAGAATCTGCATTTTCAAGACCTCCTCAGGCAATCTGGGTGCATATGGAGGTTCACAGACTGCCCCTCTAGCGGGGGGTGGTCGGGTCCTGCTGTAAGAGCAAGGGCTCTGCCACGTGTCAGCATCTGACAAGCGGCAAGTGGTCAAGCCCCACCCCTCTACCCCCGCTGAGCTTCAGCTTCCTTGTTTATAAAATAGGAATAATTATGGTACTTTCCTCCTGGAGTTGTTGTGAGGATTAAATAAGAAAATACCTCTGGAGCCCGTCAGACAGTCCCTCCAGGGAGTCAGCACCTTAGTTAATGTTCGCTATTGCTGCTGATGTCATGGTCTTCGCTGTTATTTCTTTAATCTTCTTCCTCCCCTGGCTCATCCAGTCTGACCCATCCTGAGACAGTTACCGGAATTGACCTCTTCTGCCTTATCTTCCTCATGGGCTGCTTCCTCCAGCTTGCAGTCTAGGTCGGGGATAAGACCAAAGAACTGAGGGAACTGAGAACAAGAAGGCTGGGCTTTTCTCTTAAAGGTACCACTCATCTTTCCTCACAACCTTTGTTTTCCCAGCTACAACACCAATGGTTGCCACAGGCGGAAAAGAACATACCTGCAACGAGATCCCAGCTGTCAGTGGGAACTCTTCCTCCATCCCTGGGGCCTCTCCTTCCGTCACTGGGGCCTCTCCCTCCGTCACTGGGGCCTCTCCCTTGGTCCCTGGGACCTCTCGGTCTGACACTCCGCCGCCTGCAGTTTCTTCATCAGGATCCACGGCTGTGCCTCCTGTCAGGACCACAAGCTCCAGCACTCAGTTGGCTACAACTCCCTTCCAAGGCTCCAACATCTCTTTCCCCACCTCAGCTCTTGAGAAGGACAGGGTAATTCTAGCAGAGATGGGACAGCAAGTGAGCCCAGACTCCGATGGAAGGGGCTCTGTCCGGGAAGAGCGTTCCTGTTCCTCCTTCAGCCTAGGGCCCTGGCGAGGGCGGTGAAGGGCAGTCATCCAGTGGCCCTGCCCTCCCCTCCTGCGATTCGGTTTTGAGAGCCAGTGACACACCTGGCTCAGGAACTCCGGCCCTGCCCCGCCCCTGATGGCCAGGAATTCCGTGTATATCTCACTGGGGGGTGGGGGGAGGGAGGGAAGGAGGGGACAAAGATGAGGTCCTGTCAGTCTCAGCCTGAACCTTAACCCCAGTGGCTTCTTGCAGATTAAGTGCGAACCTCCCGAAAGGCTGAATGAGATGATGCTCATCCTGAACGTCACGAAAACCAACCTCTGTGTGAGTACCACGCTAACCTAAGTCCCACCCTGATTTTCACCTCCAAAATGCAGTTGAACAGCAGGGTGGAAGGGAATGAAGTGTTCCTTCATATAAGGGACTGAGAGATGTGTTCACTTTCCTGGTCTCATTTTGTCCTAGTAGAAAATAGCCCCTGCCCGTCTTCTAGAGGGACAAAGTGAGGCTGGGACTTCTCTACATGAAGCTACACCCCTAGGGCTGCGGCAGGGCCCGAAGGACCAGGTCTCCTGGGCATTCACTGGGTAACCAGTCACTTGCTCTGAGAGTCTAGGGACCCCAACCCTAGTTCTTCTTTGCCCCTAGCTCAGGGTGACTTTAAGTCTATCTCTTTGGGTTTTCGAGGCCTCGATTAAAAAGAAGACCCTTGCCCTGACTAGGTTGGCTCAGTTGGTTGAAATGTTGTCCTGTAGACCAAAGGGCCGCAGGTTCAATTCCCAGTCAGGGCACATGCCTGGGTTGCAGTTTTGGTCTCCAGTCGGGGTGTGTGAGAGAGGCAACCGATTAATGTTTCTCTCCTTTTTTTCTCTCCCTTCCCATCTCTCTAAAATCAATAAGCATGTCCTCAGGTGAAGATAGTTTGTTTATTTATTTTTTAAATAAGAGGCTTAGTCTGCCTAACTTTCCCTGCTCTTATTGTCTGGTTTTCTGTTTCCTGGTCCATGGCCTCAGTGGAAGAATAGCATGGAGAGAATCTCCCCCTAACCTGAGAATTCAGAGCTCCTGAGCATCAGAGAGTCATTGCCAACAGTTCTCCTTGGGGCAGGGGTGTGTGTGTATTGGGGGGCGGGTGTCAGCGTGTGTGTGAGTACATATGCATGAAAAAGAGAGTATAGCGGAGCGTGCCTTCAGATTGCCCGCCTCTGTGATTCAAGGTTTTACTCAGTGAATGGCTGAGCTCTGCGAGTGCAGGCAATGGGTGGCTCACTGCTGCCCTCTCCCGGTCAGAGCCTATTTTTGCAAACACCCCTAGGAACTAACCAAAACATTGGTTTCTAAAGGATGGAGGACTTCGCTTTACGGCACTTTCATGCTGTCCGTATTTTCTGCAGTAGTTTCCTTGTGGGTGTCCATGTTGCTGGTATTTTTTCCAAGTGAATTTTACAAAAGCATACATCTGTACCAGAGTTTTCAAAGGAAGTGAGCGGTGTTCCCCTGTGTTTGGGTTCATTGGACCAGGCAGGAATCACATTGACACCTTTCCTCAGGCCCTCTTTTTGGCTAAAACTTCACAGGTTGTGTCTTCAGGTGTGAGAAACATTTTTTCTCTCTGCTATAATACGAAGGTGGATCCTGACCTGGGGTGAAGCTGGGGAATTAGTAAGCATAAGGAAATCCCAGGTGGAACCCCAATGGGTGTGTTTGTGTGTGGGTGTGGGTGTGTGTGTGCGCGCGCGCGCGTGTGTGCGCGCGCGTGTGTGTCGGGGGCGGGGGAGTCCTGAAATAAGCCAAACCAAGGGTCCTTTTCTTCATCTCAGTCCCCTATGCCAAACTCCAGCCAGGGGAACACCCGCCCACGGTGCCTCCGAGCGAAAGGAGGGGCTGGGTAAAAGCTGCCCACACCTTGCTTCTTCACTCTTATCCCTAAAACCATGTCAGCCAAGCTCTTTCTGCTTAGAAATATAGAAGGCTCCCTCCCAAGATGTCCCCGTATGCATCTCCAAGATACTCCCACATTCCTCCAGTCCATGGCAGCCCCGCCTCCTTCCTGTACCCCTGCTTTCAGTTTCAGAGGGTCTGAACCTAGGAGATGGGCACACATTTCAACCTAGAGCAGAGAGCCATGGCGTCCTCTCCTGAGGTCTCTGAACTGGGCCCCAAGGCTGGAGAGAGGTTCAGAGAGAACTGGTCTTTCCCACGAGCAGCATCCCCTCTAGCCCCCTCTGGGGAGAGAGGCAATAAATAAAGGGCATTAGATCGTCCCCCTTTCAGAGCTTAGCAGGAGGAAAGGGCTCTACAGTGAAAGGTATTGTCAGGCATAGAAAAGATAAACAGGGAGAGGGGCTGAGGGTAGAGGTTTGCATGGGGCGTAGAGGGCAGGGTCCAGCCCTGGAGAACAGCGCAAAGCCATGACTCCTGGCAGCCTGGGAACAGCCCCGGTGGAAGCGGAGGGGGAAGAGGTTCATGCTGGGAACAGCGTCCTCCTGGCCTTGCTCAGAAGGGCAGCCCTGCCAGCCTCGGCTGCATTCAGGGTCCCTGGGGAGTCAACTGTGATCTCCCACAACAGGCAGAGAGCCCTCCGGATGACAAGCTGGTCACACTTCTGTGCCGAGCAGCAAAAGCCAACTTCAACCCAAGTCGAGATCTGTGCCATATACAGTTGGTACCCGATCTAGACACCCAGAAAGTGGCAATCAAAGAGATCACCATCCAGAGTAAGTTGGGGACAAAATGGGGCTGAGCCCTTTGTGGGATGGGAAAGGGGCAGGGGTGAGGGGGACAGTTTAGGAGCCACGGAGATGGGTCAGTGCTGGTACTCCCTGTTTCCTACAAATTGTCAAGCCATTTCCCCTCCCAGGGCCAGCCCAGAGAGACACCACTCAGAGCGGGTGGAGATACAGCATTTCCTCCTGTTGGGGCCCAGTCTCTGTCCCTTCCCTGGTCATTCCAAGCTAGAGCACTGAAGTAATGTCTCTCCCTCCTCCCCCATAGCCAAGCTCCTTCCCAAGGACTTGTATGAATCGCTGAGAGACAAATGGGACGACCTCAGGGAGGTAAGCCAGCCCCCCGTGTGCCGGGACAGATCGGGTCAGGACCCCGTCCCTTGGGAGTCCCCGGCTACTTTGCTCCACACTGTCTCTCTCATGGTTGAGGAACCTCTAAGTTGCAAGCATCTAGAAGATAGGAGGACAAGGGAGGGGAGAGCAGGGCAGGGCGGTGTCATAGGCCCCACCAAACCCCAAGCAGAATGAATAAACGGGAGGTCAGAGAGAGAGAGTGACCGGAACCTGTTTGCTGCCACATAACTCTCTCTTTGCTGGCTAGCTGGGAGTCAGTAACATGCAGCTGGGGAATCAGGGGCCACCGGAAGAGACCGAGGACCGGTTCAGCATGCCCCTCATCATCACCATCGTCTGCATGGCGTCCTTCCTGCTCCTCGTGGCAGCCCTCTATGGCTGCTGCCACCAGCGCCTCTCTCATAGGAAGGACCAGGTGAGGACATGTCTCTTCTGGCCAGGGAAACAGTCCAACCCGCCAGGTGGCTGTCACCCACATTAGAGGAAAGAGAGTGGGCCATGGACCCAGGCAGACATCAGCCCGCCGAGCAAATGGACGTTGGCCTGAGGGGAGGGAGGCGTGGGCTTCAGGAGTCAGAAAGACTTGGTTTAAGCCTTCGCTCTGCCTCTCTGGTCTGTGTGACCTTGAGCAAGTCATATAATCTCTGAGCATCAAGTTTCTCATCTGCATAGTGGGGAGAAGACCCACCTTGCAGAGCTGCTCTGAGGGGTCACTGGTGTCAGTGGGCGTAGACGCGCCTGTCTAGCAGGTTCTTTCAACCCCCAACAACAATTCTCATCATGATGCTTCCACCCAGACCCAACCCTGGCACTCGCTCCTGGCTGCTTACTGTGGGGAGCTTTAAGAAACATTCCCGTGCCTCGCGTCCCCACACTGCACTCAAAACGCAGTCTCTGGATCAGTGTGTTGACTGAAAGCTTCCCAGATGAATCTCAGATAAAGATGGAGAGAAAGCACTGTCTCCAGACGACCCCTGTCTGCGGCACAGGTGGCTGTGGGCTGTGCTGTACCCACCTTGCTCGGGCTGAGAGAGGTCCTCAACCACCTGTCTGAAGAAAGTGTTCTTACCGTCCTTCCCAGCTCTGTACGGTGGGGTGAGGCCAGGGCCTGGAGAGGAAGGTTTGTGGAGAGGGAATGGAGGGAAGAGTTTGGAGGACTCTGGAGAACAAAGTCCATTGGCACTGACTCCATGGCTTTGCCACTAGCATGAGGGTGAGGGGAGCTGGGAATTTTAGGAAGTCCTCATCTCCAACCCGACCTGAGGCAGGCCAGTCGGGATGCCCTCCAAGAGCAGGATGATCTGTTCCCAAGAGCACTTATACTCACGTGAGCCAAACTGGGGCTCCTGGATTATAGAGATGCATGTGTTACCAGAAGGCTAATATTCCTCACAGATGACCCTTTCTTCTTGGCCCGTCCTTCCCACTCTAGCAACGACTCACAGAGGAGCTGCAGACAGTAGAGAATGGGTACCATGACAATCCAACACTGGAAGTGATGGAGACCTCCGCAGAGATGCAGGAGAAAAAGGTGGTCAACCTCAATGGGGAGCTGGGGGACAGCTGGATCGTCCCTCTGGACAACCTGATGAAAGATGACCTGGATGAGGAGGAAGACACCCACCTCTAATCAGGTCTGCTGGCCGCCGCCGACAACGCCACAGAGCTCCAGACCGAAACACCTCAAGTGCCAATCGGACCAGGGAGGAAAGTCCTCCACATTTGAGGAAAAGACTGGGGCGGGGGATGAGCAGACTCAGAAGGGACCTGCCTCCCGAGCCCCACAGGGCCTTAATTTTTCCCTTTTCAAGCTGAACAAATCACACTCTGTCTAGATTCCTCTTGTAAAATAACCCACTAGTGCCTGAGCTCAGTGCTGCTGAGGGGGAGAGGAAGAGAAATAAAAGAGCGAGCCATCTAAGGGACTTTAGAGATCATCTAGTAGAATCCCTTCATTTCACAGATGAGATGACTGGGGCCTCAGGAGAGTAAGGTCAAGATTGCACAGCTACTCGGTGACAGAGTCAGAGTGAACACAGATTCCTTCTTCTGTCCAGTGCTCGTTCCCACCTTGCCACACTGCCCTGGTCACTTGCGCCCTCCCTGCAGAGCTGCCTCGGGCAGGGGGAAGCTGCCAGTCAGTGGACGGGATAGAAGGGGGAGTAGGCCCAGGTCCAGTCTCAGTGAGATGTGATTACTTGAAAGTGTAGGGCCCAAGTTCAGTCTCCCACCCCAGCCTCGTCTGCCAGTGTTCCCGTCCCCTGTGCTCTTCCCCCTCCCTCCACTCAAGTTTTGTTCCCACTCTGTCTCAGGGCCCTGGAACTAACACAAGTCATTCATGACCTTGAATCCCTTGTTCTGACTTCTGGTTTCTTAGCATTTGCTTAGTGAGATTAGGACGTAATCCACACAAGGCCCCCAGTGGGAACGAGGTCGGTTTAGGGGTCAATCTGCAATGAACAGCGCAAGCCCTTCTTCCCAGGATGGGTCTTGGCCCATCACCCAAGGTGCTCCGGCAAGAGGCCCCCCCAAACATTGCCTTGGCCCCCCTATTTCCACCAGGGACTAAAATCCACAGCAGCTACTGAAGGCAAACTGCTCCCGTTTTGTCATGCACTACTCATCCAATGGGGGTGAGGCCCAAGCTAGGGAACCCCATCCCTCCGAGAGTCAGCGTGCATGAGCAGCCTCAGGACACACTTTCCCGGGGTGCCTGGAGGCGGGGATGTGTCCCAAGAGAATTGGTTGAAAGAGCTAGAAAGGATGGGCTTTACTCTCTCTCTTAGGAAACTCAGGGACTTTTCAAGTTGCTGAGAGTTGTTATTTTGATGTAGTTGTTTGTTTGCTTGTCTTTTCATCCAGCCCTCTCCTGCCAAAGGCCAAAGCTCAAACACTGGGGATACTTTCAGTTAGGTAATCTCACTGAAGAAAGGCCTGCAACGGGTGGTGTGTGTTTTAAGGTGCACACAGGGCAGCCTGGGGGACTGGCTGTCTGCCATCTGCCTGTTCCCAGAGACCTTCCTGTTCTGCCACGGAACCATGTCCTCTTCTCTGTAGTCCTAGTGGGGGCTGCCTGGTTGTCCTGCAGTTTTTGGTGGCATCTCAGGGAAACAAAATAGCACCTATTTCTCAGTGGAGGGGTGTTGAGGGAGCTCAGCAGTTAGCAGCCATGTGGAAGGCACGTGAGGACTGGGCATGGTGAGGTTTCATCTGATTTTCTGAGAAGGGAGAATCCTGGGTAGAATTTTGGACTTTGCCCAAGGCCTCTTGTTCCTGGGCATAAATGCCCTGGAATCACCGAGGAAGATGGGCAGAACTGCTTAGGAGAATGAAAATGGTCATTTCTGGGCAAAAAGCCCGAAGTCCAGTACCCACAGGCGGGCCCAGGCTGCAATAGCTCTGATGAAATAGGCTCTCTGCTTTGGGATAGGTTCTGTTCTGTTTTGGTTTTTTTTTTTTTTTTTTTTTTTTTTTTTAAAAAGGAGCTTATTGGGGAGAAGGATGTCCTTCCCCAGCTGCGTGATTTCTTCTTCATTGCCTTTAGCCCTTTGGACTTGGGGTTCAAGTTAGGGGCCCCAGTGAATCTCCCAAGAGCTAGAGAGATGCTAGGCTAATGAGGATCCAAAAGCATTTGCCCTGTTTCTCTAGTATGTAGAGGTTGACAGGATGGCGAACGGCAGTAGTTTGGAGAAGAAGAGAGGAATCCTTGTCACGCTGGAAAGCAATCTGTTTGCCTCCTTCTTGCCCAGTTTTTGGTTCATTCTACCCGGTGGGTTTCTATCATGACCCCGGGGCACAGGCCAGAAGGATTCTACTCCTTTGCTGATTCTGGGTTATGTTTCACCAGCCAGGCCTTTCGACAGAGACAGCAAATGTGTCTCTGAACATTGACCAAAGGCCACAACCCGCAGGCCTTTTGGGGAGAGAGATGATGCCTGGCAGGGATCAGGGAGTGACAGTAACGCTAGGTTGAGAGGAATGACTGTGGCTCTGCCCAAGGAGATATCTGGGAAGCTTTGCGCTGTTTTGGAGGTTCCTTCTTTTGGTGCATCCAGACTGTTACTCTAGCCTTTCAGGGCATAGGCAGAACCCACTCCCTTGCCCTGGCTCGCTCTTGCCATTGACATCTGTGTCAAAGGCCATACAGCTGTGTGTCTGTTAGGGCCATGTTCTTCCTGTCTCTGTACCGGGTTCTAACTGCTGGCTGGTAATTCAGATTCTGGGGTTGAGAGAGAGGAGAGGGACAGCAGGAACTCAGCATGACTTTAAGCAAGTTGTACCAAAGGGAGATTATAAACTCTTTACTTCAGTGACACACTGGTTTCCCTAAGCTGCAGAAAAGGCCCGACCCCATGACTGTGATGATACGACAGACCCAGGGGAAGCATGCCATCCTGTGAGCAGCGAGCACAGCGGCAGTGCTTTAGAAGGTCTTGGCATCATAAGACAGAGTATGGGTGCCACCTAGACACAGGCTCCTTGTTCCCCTCTTGATAAGGAGAGCTAGCAGAAAGTTTATTGAAACCACTTCTGAGCTATACCCTTTTTGACAATATGCTGGAGGAACTCTGAAAAACAAGTTCAAGCTGATACATATATACATATTTTTTATGGTTATGTAAATAAAATGGCCACATGTTAATCCACCCAGCACTGCTTTAAGTGAATATATTTTGGAAAAATATTTGTTAGACACAGAGGTGGCTCTTTTCTTCCCTCTGAACAGGAATGTAAATGTCTATTTTCCTAGAAATGACAAGTTTTTGATTTTTTTAATGAAAAAATGGGGTATAAGACAGGCTGATGACAAAGTATTTTAAATGCGACCGTCATGCCCTCCCCAGCAAAGTCCCAGCCTGATACAGTCAGGCTCACAGTCAGTAAGCACTGGTTGGAAAGCGACCCTCCGGTCACAGGTTTGAGACCTAGAGACCTAGTCCAATCTTTTTGTTGTTGTGTTGTTGTCTTTTAACAGAAGCCCAGAAGGCTAAAGTGAGTTGGCCCAAATCACTTGGTTAGTGACAGAAACAGGATTAAAACCTGGGCTGGCAGACTATCCGGTGTTGTGTGCCTCAGCGGAAAAGGAATAAATTAAGACCTGCTATTTAGTCACAGGCATTGGCATGACACAAAGGACAGAATTCCCTGCTCAGATCTCATCCCGCTTCGGGCGAGGCGAGGCTAGGGAGGACAGGAAGACCAAAATAGGAGCCTTACTGGTCTTCCACACTTTCTCTGAGTTATATAGGTCTGAGACTGAAATGAAAAAATTCTTCTCCATCAAGAAGACAGTCTTGAATGAGCTGTTACTGATGAATCTGCTACTACGGGACTAAGGATCAAAGGGAACAAGACGGGGAAAGGCAAATTCACTGAGGCCTGGTGAAAACCCAACCCTGAGTGAAAGGAAGGGGTGTCCCTGTTTGATGTGGGTCTTTCTGTGTTTAGTGAACATCAAGCAGTTTGCCCAGGAAACTGGGGGAGCGCTGTCTTGTGGACAGGGGTCTGAAGTACACTGGGATTTAATGAGAAGCTTCTTTGTAAAGGCTATACTTAATTATCGCCATTTTCTACAAAAAATATATTTTTGAAAATTGTATACTGTCAATTAAAGTGCTTTTGTGTAAGCTGCTTCAAGCCCCAGTATTGTGCTCTGATTGGCCTGCGTTCTTCACTCGCCTCTGAGGCTCAGCCCTGGAGCAGAAAGGCAAAGGGAGGGGCGGGGGCGGGGGCGGGTGACTGTTCCGAGATCACCCCCAGGCTGTCCTTGTGCTCCTCTCTGAAGGGACCTTTCCCCTCACAGCACTGTTCTATCCTTGCTTTGCCTCTTCCTTCCGCTTCTGCTTCAGACACAATTGTGAGTCACCCAGCACTAAAGAACCCAAGGGGGCTGCTGAATCCTGATCAGGTAGGGAGACACTGGTGTGGAGACAAAACAAAGTAGCATAGTAAATCGAGGGAGGTCCTGTCCTGGCCCTGTGCCTGCCCATAAAAGGATCTGCCTCACCTGTCGTGAGAAGCCTCTGCCTGTCTCTTATCTACAGTGCAGAAGAGGGGGGTGCCGGAAAGGAATCGCTCAGAGATGACTACATTCTCTTTACTAGAAATGGTCTGATCTACCTGTGTGTCCTTAGTGTAAGGGAAGAACTCAGTCCCAATTCCAGAGGGAAACTGTCAGGCAAATCCAGACCACGTTCATAGCTGCTATACAACAGTCTTCCACTTGCCTCTTAAATTTACAGAACGTTTTTACTTATTTAGGAACTATCGCCATTTTACTAATAGGGGAATTACCTACAAAGAGCATGGATTCCCTTTAAGATTACACAGGTATTTAAATGGTAGTGCTAGGCTTTGGACCTGCATCTATTAGTCCTACATTCTTTTTTCAGTATCACATTAATGCTTGCGCTCCAACAACAAAGTGGATTTTTAGACTGCAACCACGATTACAATATGATTTTCTTTCTATGCCGGAGTTTTGGAAGGCAATTCACACCCTTAAGGGTGGACCAGAGTTGGACCAGGGGTATTTTGAGGTTAACTTCAAGCGTGTGCCAAAGATACAGAAAGGAATACAAGGACCAGGAACTCAGGCAGGCCCCTGGACCGTGCTCGAGGCACACTGTTCTAAGAAGAGAATGACTCATAGTTTATTGCTGGCTACAAATTAGACCTAAGACTCCATTCTCTTCCTGAATAAGTCATTCACCCCCCTCCCTGCCCTGCCAACCAAGAGCCGCTCTCAGTTGTCATTTTTAATTTGTTGTGCCTCTTTGTCACTCCCAGTTTACCCCATCCTTTCTTCTGGACCCCAAGGCAAAGAGGAAAGAATAGGGCTGGCTATTATAATTAACACTAGTGATGAATCCTGACATAGCTAGTATTTTTCAAGGACCTTGGCATCTTATAGATTAAAAGTCAGCGGGATCCTGGCAAACAGGATCTGTTGCCAATGTTTACTTAAGAGGTGCAAAAGTGAGGCAGAGAAAAGACTGGGCCCACTGCTATAAGGAAGTCACCGGTGGAACTGGAAAAAAATGTCGGATTGCTGACTCGTGCCCTGGGCTACCCATTCCTACAGCCCAAGTTCAGAGGGCAGCTGCACATGATATGCAATAGATGTCGCCAAGTGTCATCTCCCCTCTTGGAATTTGCCAATCATCAGAATTTATTAGCACAGCACTGGACAGGCCACCTTTAACTATAGCTTTTCTCTTTCTTCCCTGGAAGAATGTTTCTAGATGTAACTGATGGCCTTTGCTTTTCCTAGGGGAAAGCCCAGGGGGAGGAAAGTTCCCTGAGAACATCAGAGGAGCTTCAGAGGAAGAAGGCTAGGATAGTTCCGAGGGTCATCCTCTACTGCCCACCTTCCCTGTGCTTCCCAGACATGTAAAAAGCAAAGGAAAACGTGGTGTCATGTGTGGTGCTAAAGGAAAGAAATGTAACCAACTAGTATTTAAGCCTATGCTAGGGCTGACATAGTTCTTTCACACTCATACCTTCAAAATGTAAAGGGTTAGTGGTAAGAAATACTGCCTTAACAGAAAATTTTTTTGAAATTTCTATAAATTCTGTGGTTGTGAGTATAGGCACACATTGGCCATTTCCCTATTAGATGCTGGGTTACCACCTCAGGTAACCGGAAGCCCCAAAGGCAGCACTTCCAGTCCCTGCAGGTCTCCACACTCAGAGTGGGAGCCGCTGGTACTGCAGCTGAGGTCAACACAAAGCCCTCATGGCGTACTGCTGCCTGCCCACCAGAAGAGGTATGTTAAGGGAGAGGGGATTGTATCCCACATTTCGAACCTTTTTAGTTCTCTGGAGGATTAACCAAGGAAAGGCCAGTTCCTTACCTTATCGCTTTTGCTTCCCTGTTTTGAAAACAATTATTACTCATGAACCATGCTCAAAGCACACTCAAGAAATGAAAGCAAGACAGCAAGATGGATTCCTGGGTTTGTAAGTTGAAAAAATATAATTCTTACCTTGAATAAAATGAGTTGGCAACTAACTCCCTGCAGAGCGTAGGATGACTAAGCCAAGACAATATGAACCAGATCAGAGAAGGGCCAAGAGCAGAAGAGCTTGTTACTGAGAATCTATCTGAAGAGCTCACACAGCCCTAACAATCCATTTCTTTGGCATGTTTCCGAGTTTTTTTCAAGGGTCAGCCCTGAAAGCTTCCTTCCATTTCACTGTGGACAGGAATCCAGAATTCTTCTAAACTTTGTAATACCTCCAGCTCTAGGTTCTCTTTCTTGTCTATCTTCTCTACCATTCATTTTCTATTTGTTACGTTTTTTTCTTCCAGTTCCTAACCAGTACAAATACGTCCCCCTTAAGGAAAACCTGGGAAACACATGTCCGAATGTACAAAACATAAAATAGTGCTGGTCATTAACACAGATATAAAAAAAATTTTTTTTTATGAATTTACCACTGTTATTTAAAAATGAAAACATCCCCAGAAACTTTGTGAGGTAGGTCCACAGAACTTTATCAGCACTGTCTCAAAGGAAAACAGCCAATGTCCCTTCCACATTGTGTATCATTTTCCACCTTTGAAAGACTGAATAAAACCTTTTAGAAGAAAAAAATGTAAGTGCAAAGTACATAAACATTTTAAAAGTTAATTTCAAAAGTAGTCTTAGTAAACAAGAGACATCTTGTAGTGTCCATATATCTTTTTATTAAGAAAATGAACAAAATACATTCTTTCTCCATATGTACATTACATACAACAATTCTACAATTGCAATTGTTCAGCAGATCACTGCTCACAAAGCAGTGTTTGTTGATAACACATTCATCAAACCTGGGATCAGATTACTTGTACTAAACAAACAAACCCTACAATGTCCACACAGACTGAGCAAAAGTAAGCGAAGCTAGAGGATCATGACGGGAATGGGGAAGATTGCAGAACACTCAACATAGCTCAACAATGACTTGGAACAATATTAGAAAAGAACTAATGCCCCGAAGCACTTGTGTTAAAAAGCTATAACTAGCTGATGTCTGCTGTTCCCGAGTTCCCCCATGATTTCCATCCTGATGTAGGTACCTCAGGATACAGCCTTACGCCCCTGCATTGTCACAGAAGAGGGTGAACAAGAGTAGAACCCTGACAGGCTGCAGTTACCTCGTTCTCCCACGGAGGAGTCTCAAATGAAACCCAAAACTTCTGAATGTTGGCTGGTGAGCACAGAAACATTTTTTGAAGACACATTTGCTTACGCTTGATTAGGGGGACTCTTGTTTCAAGGACTTCTTGTTTACATTTGTGTTTATTTTGCTTATCTTCCTTTTGCTTTGCTTTGCTCTGCTTTTCCTTTGGCCTTTCAAAAGTACCTCATCTTTTTTGGGTGTGGGTTTAATTATGGTCATATTGAAAAGATACATCTCAACAAAAAGCTCTTCATGGGTATGGATATGCTCCAAATGGGCATAATGGTGCATAAAGAGATTACTCATTAACATGAGTCTTTGAGATGAAATTTCCAATGGTCTCAATAAGGCAGCTCCCAACAGCTTCTGGGTAATATCTTACATCCATAATTCAGTCTTAAAAGGTACATATCAACAGAATTATTTCCAGACTGTCTAGAAAAGGGCAATGCTCAAAGGAATGTAAGGGTGGGCACACATGCTCGCATCCCAGTCCTCCACATGTGGTAAAAGAATGAGAATGATTGTGTCCATTTTTTTCTTAAACCTTTTTTCTGGCCTTTACCATGTTTGGTAACGGAAGTCAGGAAAATAAAACAAGTATGTCTCATCAGTTAATATATAGCGGTTTTCCTTCTTTACAATCTTATTTCCTAAATTTCTATTATAAACATTTTTATAATCACAAACATCAATAAGTGATATTTAAAAGTTTCATAAAAGATATTTAACACTTCCCAGCTTTCCAATGAGCAGGTCGCTCTAACACCATGTTTCCAGCCCAGGGGATGCTGTAACAAAGGTGCTCTCCACAGCAGTAATAAGCAGACGCGGAAAGAACAAACCTACTGGCTTTGGATGGAGCTCTATCGTCCTGCTCAAGCTAATTTCCAGTCCAACTTTGTTTCTGAGAATCTCTATCAGGAGGGATCTTAATTTCTGCCCATTGAGTACTTCTAATTTAAAAAAGAACTAAAAGAGTCGACTTAAAAAACAAATTTTAACACACACCATTTTGAAAGATGGAATAAAGGTTGTTACCAAGACAAAGACCAAGACAAGGAGTTCCTCACCGTGGTTTTCCTGTGCTCTTCTGAGGCCATAGACTCAACTGTACATAGATTTTGAAGTTGTAACAGGGAAGAAATCTCTTTCAAAGAAAAAACGTATATAGCTGACCCTTGAACAACGTGGCGGGTAGCGGCTCTGGACTCCCATGCAGTCGAAAATCCATGTATAATTTTTGACTCCCCCAAAACTTAAATTACTGACAGCCTACTGTTGAGCAGAGCCTTACCAAAAACATGCAGTTGATTAATTAATACACATTTTGGTATGTTTTATGTATAATATACTATGTTCTTACAATAAACTAGAGAAATGAAAATGTTAAAAAATCATAAGGAAAATATATTTACAGTATTTGTTGGAAAAAAACCTACATATAAGTAGACCTGTGCAGTTCAAAGGTCAACTGTATTATTCAAAGGTCAACTGTGTGTGTGTCCACAAAGGAAACTGCTCATAAAAAAAGTCACATTATCTTGCAATTTCTAAATTGAACTGAAGAAATAAAGGAAAATTAATACTACACTATCTAATTTATACATTCCAAAAGACATTTCGCACAAGTCAAAAAAGCAAGCTGGCTTACAAAATAACACAATCACAGCATCTTTTGGCCAAGCTAAATGTAATATTTAAGAAAGTCCACTTTTATTCCTCCAAATGGGTGGTTTACAATTGAGGGAGAACACAGTTTACAACTAGTCAGTCACAAAAATATTTCTGGGAAAGAAGAAAAAAAAAATCATAAAGCAGACCACGCACATGACTTTTTAAAATATATTATCTGCCCCACAGACTACTCACATTTAAACTTTTGGACTTTGATACCCTACTATCAAATTTGGGGTTGGATAGGCAACTACTTTAGCATGTCTTATAACTTTGTATTCAGGACTTTTACAAGCACAGTTAATGTATGGTATGTAAAATTAAGCTAAGCCTTTAAAAGGTGAAAAGTACTGTAGAACTTCTTTAGGTAGGCAATTTAAAAAAATGTAAAGCTGTACATCTCTGTCCTCAGTCCTCACCACACTTTCATCTCAAGAAGGTAAAGACAACAACTAGAAGGCAATACACTAAACAGGCATTTGCAAACATCTGACGGCATAAGATCCTCTACTCATTTTGTTGTAAAATGAATTCAGAAAACTCTGCCAGCTGCAATGGAATTGGACTTATTCTAGATATAGTCTCTAATTTAATTAATCACTTTACAGATATGGAGGCACCTGAAGAAGAAATCAAAGTTACTAAATACTTCTAATGCCAAGCCCAGAACACATGTATTTCTCAGCCAAGCAGAATAAACAGAGAACTTTGGCATTATGTTTAATTAATTTATTTTAAAACATGGACACAATTCTGTGTGGGGTATTAAGCATGAAATGACATTTTTTTCCCCCCTATTTTGAAGGGCTAGAAAACAAACACCAACCAAATGACACTAGCTAAACTGAACAAAGGCTTTCTTGAGATTTGTTAACAAAGGAGAGGGATAAAGCTCAAAATTGGCTATTTGAGCAACTTTCAATCATTCACACAGGCCTGTTTAGTGTATCAACAGTTTTTCCTTCCTGCTGATTAACTTGGCATTAGCTAAGCACTGAGTGAAACTGAAGATGATGGTCTCCTAAGGCCGGCTGGTACCTGCGTGGCAGACAGCTCGGACCCTCAGCCTCACTGCTGTGAATGCCAGCGCCCCACATGGTGCAGAGCTGTGCTGCAGCGAGAGCTTAAACTCAAGGAAAAGCAAGTCCTGCGGGAGCCTACAAATGCATGTTAAAATGTTTTACTGATCGTTTTCCCTCTGGACCCTTATCAAGGAACTAGCTGTACACAGAAGAAACTGCTTACCTAGTTTACGGTCTTGGGCCCATTACACTGGGTTTTCTGTTTCAAGATCTCAAAGTTATTTGGGAGATGAGAAAAGAAACTAACCAAGAAATGCTCCTTTCCAAAGGCTACTCAGAATAACTGAGAGTTGATCCCTTTTGAGTAAGTCTTCTTTCCAGCACTGCATTAATAAAATTAATTTAGGGTTAGAAAGGAAGAGCGTTCTTTTTTATTTATATTTGGGGATCTTCAAAACTGTGAGAAAAAGAAGTTCTCTTTTCCTTTTCTAGTAAATACTCCTTTTCCTCTCTGAGGCTCAATATCTCCAAGTGAAAGTCGCATAGACAAGCACAATAAGACACTGCACACAAATTTTAATAGTCCATTAAGGTGGAGCGAACAACAGACAAAAAGAAAAATTATTTCACAATTACAAGTGATATCTTACAAATGGTCTACTTCCCTACTAAATTATGTGCTGCGCACCCCCCCTCCGTTTCTGTCATTGATCCTATAGCTCTCAGATAACATCCACGTAACATTGTTTTAAATCAAGCCAGGCAGTGGTTGAGGACGTGAAAGTCTATTCGCAAACTTTACTTCCAAGTAATGCCTCTAACATGAAAGATAAACTGAAGTTCCCCTTGATTCTGGTGTTTTTAAGCTTTGATTTGGGATTCCTAGTTCGAGATCTGTAACTTTAGTTCTACCTAACAGAAAAAGACATACAAGGGAAGGGTTTCCCACAAGGGTATCTCTCTCCACACCACTAGAAAATCTGATTTATTGTAACTTCTAATGACTCCTTAAGGGCTATAGGATCTAGTCAGAGGATTTTTTTCATTGACTATGACTAGGAATAAGATTTAGTCATTTGGAACTCGAGCTAAATTCACATTGTTGAGGGGAAGAGACATTTATAAGCCTGCATTATTTTTACTTAAGAAAAAATGAACACTAATCATTACATAGCAATCAAAATTCTCAATGCTAAATCATATTAGAAATTAAGTCAATTCTTAACACAAATTCCAACTTGAGCAGAAAATCAATGCTACTTGGAGAAGGAAGTAGGGAGAAGAGAGGCAAAAAGAAAAAAAAAAAGAAAAGAAAAAAAACCAAACAAATAAAAAAGACGAGACAATAGGCAAATGGAAATTCTGGTGAGGTACTGAATTCCAAAAGCTCTGCGTGAAACTTGTGCCTTATCAGTAACTTTATGACTATATTTCCTAGTGCCAGGAAAAGAAGTCAGCACTGGCTTCTCCATTAAAGCTGCCATAGCCATATTACTATCCCCCAAATGAAAATGACCAGTATTTTTATAGTAGCATCTGATTGTTATTCTTTAATAATATACAATTAATAATTTCACTATTCTGTTGTCATAAACAAGGATAAAAGAGTATGATGCTGCAGAATGATTTCAACCTTTTTTCCCCTCAAGCAGTACAACACTTGTTATTAGCAATGCCACCAAAAATCTAGAAAGTCTAGGGCTAAAACAGCCAAGAATACAGTCAGAAAAATAATAAAAACACAATTCACAGTATTTGGTGGGTAGGAAGAAGTCAAGGTTAAAATTATTTATGAATAAAAGCTCTAAGATAGCACTTTTTGAGAAAAATAAAAAGAGCATTTGGTAAAGAATTCCATAAACAGCAATGAGTCCTTCCCACCAAAACAATGGCATCAACATTCAGCTGATCCAGTTGGCTCTTAATCATTGCGACAAACTTGGAAAATTCCAACTTCAAGTGACATACCTGTAGATTAGAAGTTTTAGGAAGCCAAGTCACTTCAGCATAATAGGCCAGTCAAAAATCACAAAAAAAAAATGTTACCTATTAGGAAATATAGGGATCTTTGAGTGAAAAAGCCCAAAGATCTTATCTACAAGTATCATCATATGCAGACCCTCTGATACACTTCTCCAATAACTATAAACCTTTTCTGAGGAAGCCTGCACATCCCAGATACAGGTTATTTTTAAGAATTTAAAATAGTAAAAATTCAGGTGAGAATTTCTGCAAAATGATGACACTGCAGATGAGCATGGATTTTTAACAAAGGTTGTGAAAGGTGTATTTTTCATAGCTAGATGACTTTGTTTAGAGTATTCATCCTAAGGATTTCCTGGCCCCATAGAAATCATTTCAAATCCTGGTTCTCAACTGCTTTGCAACATTCAACCAGCTAGAGTTAACACCTTCTCTCAGGAAATAATCCAGGACTCACAATTACCCAGTGAATTTCATTTAGTGGTAAGAATTTCAGAGTAACTGCTCATGTAATTGCCATGAAACTGAGCGTAATTCAGAGAATAAAATGAGGAATATACTCCTTTCTAAGTGTGTTTTCATCAATTAAGCATCATTCTTCATCTTTCAATAAATGATTAAGTGATGTAGGTTAGATTTTAAAACTTTTTATTAGATGAAACTGTAAATGTAGTTCTGAAGAGCACTTTTAAGGCAGATGTGAAAAGATCCACTGGGAGGATAAGCTGGCAACCATTTTTATTCCATACACACATTTCACCCAAGAATAGTTTACAATCTTGAATCACTGAGCTTTAAGCCCTGCAGGCCGAAATTAACTTCGTAATGTTCTCTATCAGTTTTACTTATTAGACATGGACAGGCCAGTTTTAGCATAAATGAAAACCAGGTTTACACCAGGTTTAAAACGATGCTCTCGCTAAAGGCAATACTGTCAGCTTTAGAGCAGTTAGGCACCCAAGTTTAAATCCCTTTGCTTGAATAAGACACTGATATATTTGAATTAATCAAGCTGTCCACATGAGGTCTCTGTCATTCCACAAAATGCAAATGCATTTAGAAGTACCTTGCAAATCATATAATTTCTCATGAAGTACAAGAACTTAAAATGTTAGAGATGCAGTTTACTTCTAGTTTAAATAAACTGTTTCTAGTTTACTATTTCAGAATAATATATTCCACTGGCAGGTGGTGGGGGTGGAAGAAATGGGAATGAAGTTGAAGCAAAGGACAATGAAATTGAACAAACCGTACTCCACTAACTAGCACAAGCCAGGTGTTTCAATCTGAGAGATACTAAAGTAGAATGAAAAAATTTTAAAATGGCAAAACATAGCTACTTGCCTATCTAAAAAATGTATCTAAATACTAAATTAGATTATTTAAATTAAACATACTGCTGGAATTCCTGGAAATAAATGGAACTCCTCATTAAATGTATAGGTTTCAAATCAGGGATGTGAAATGTGAGCAATGTGTCAATCTTGAGCATGGATATAATGAAGCCCTACATTTTCCTACAATCATTACCAGCAGTGTAAAGCTCCAAGGTGCAAATTCTGATTTACCTAGTTAATAATCACCTCAATACAGTCTCTCAAGCAACACTAAATAATTTGCTATGATTCAATGGCATTTAAATGTTAGCGAAAGAGAAATTCAGAAATGAAGTCCCACATCTAATAGAGAAGAGATAAAACTAAAACAAGCATCTGTTAAAACAAAACAAAACAAAAACAACTACTACTATCCAGATAAAACAAGAAAAACAACAACAAAAATCAATGAGGTCAGAAACTGAGTTTCCTCCAAAAATGGAATCTAAATAAATGAAAAAAATAAAAAAATAAAAAAAGACAAAGCAACTACAAAAAAAAAAAATATATGGTGGAGGGCAGAATTTCATTTGGTTAATGTTTTTAAAGTGCTAGAATTCACAGAAAGCAAAATTCAAGGTTTTAAATTTAGAAACTCTTATCAAGTTCTTCCCTATCAACTCTTTGATTTGTATTTGTTATCACAAGATTCAACTGGCTACCATATTAGTGATACTAATATTTTATGTCCTGGTCTGTCACTCAGAAGAATCGTTTTATGAAACTGTACAAGTTTGTAAGTAAATTCTATTTGCTCACCTGTAAAGACAATCGGTTATTCTGTAACTATACAATTTGGTATTTACTAAATTATACACTACATTTTCACAAGGTACAGATTTAATTGTTTAATAAATCATTACTGATTGCTTTGGAAAGCTTGAAAGCTAAGGAGCCCAAGATTCAAGACTAGAACTAGAGAAAATATATGTCTGTCCATCCCAAAAGTAGTAAAACTATGTAATACAGAGTGAAGATGGATCACAAAGTCTCAATCCTATAATGAGACTTCTCAAAAGTGCAAGTCAACTTCTCTCTTTCTTTGGTGAGACCTATCTTGCTACTCAGGGACATACTGAATTCCATAGTCATTTACTCTTAAGAGTCACTGGATTGATGGATATTCATTATACTTAGTATGCTTTAAGCATGGTGGGTATCAGTTGAACACAGCATGCTTTTTGAGCAGATGTAAGCACTGGCCAGGTGTAGGTTTCTTATATTGCATTCCATAGCACCTCATGGAATAATATAGAGCTCCACCACCCCACAAAAAAAGTGGAAAAACCAATCTGCCTTTTCCTTCCCTTTCTTTAGATTGTAATGAAAAAATATTTGCACCATTAATTTTCTTTTTTTTTCATTTAAAAAAGTCCAGTCTGTGTGCTTAATGAAATGCCTTGCCAGTTGTATTCATTTGGACAACTAGACACCATTATTCTTTAAAATATCAGTATGCAGAAGCAGATGTAGGGAGCCAGTATATATGTGAATAAACAAAAGCAGAATTCTGGACACCCACCCTCCCAAATGAAAATGCTACAAATTGATAGCACAAGGAAGTAACAGAAACCTTGGTTCTGCATGGTTCTACCAGAGGAAAAAGTCATTTTCTTCCGAAATTACTACAAAGATATCAATGAACATATCAATCACTTCCAGAATCCTCCTGCTGATAACTTTTACAAGGGCTCTTAAAGGTTCTGAACTATACTCTTTCAGTTTAAGGTTTCTGTGACTCAAAGCTATTCTAATATCCATTGTAGAAATATTGTATACCAATCTCAGATAAGTGCCTCAACCAATCTTGGGTTTCATTTTTTAGTTCTATGACAAGGAGCGTAAATTTGAGCCTTCTGTTTCTTCTGTTGCTTAATGTTAATACAAGACTCTAGTCAACAGAGACACATATATATCACTTTAACGTACATCAATTGCCATACAGAACTATATACTATTAAGAATGAAGTAAAGAGGTAAACAAGTGACACCACTTACAAGCAGTCGTGTGATGCAAGGTAAAGTGAAATGGGAAGAGGAAAGGCCAAACAACAAAATCCCAATTCTTGTAGCACTGAGTCTGTTAATAGTGCTTACTTGCCCTAATTTTATAAAAATGAAATAAAAATCAGGAAAGGGTAAACTACCTGATTATTATTTTTTATAATCATTAATTCTTAAAAGTTAAAGTAAAAAATATATATATTTAAATGGAAAGTACACCAATTTCACTTTATTATTAACCTAATTGGGGAATGGGATGAGGAGAATGGGGTCGAGGTCAGGTATGACGAAAGAGGGTTAGAACTTGTGATGGTTGAAGGTCCCTTCAAAATTCCGGTGCAGTCCTCAATCACTGCAGCCTAAGTGTCGGTCAGCAGAGCTGAAATCCAGAATACTGAAAGCAGACTCCTGTTCTCCATGTGTGGCCAGTGACTCTTCAGTTACAGCGTGATGAGGTCTACCAGGTTGCCTTTAGGAGGAGTCATGCTGTCAGGAAAGAAATTTACTAAGATGTCAAAGAGCTGAGTTCTTTGAGCATAGGTGTGATCCACATCCGAAAAGCCTGGTGAAGGAGAGATACAAAGAAATTCATTCACTGTGTTTAAAACTCAACATGTAACAGAAAAGCCAGCTGAGAAAAGCAACAACATATAATGGAAAAACCAAAAACCCAAACAGGTTTTAAAACCAGACATGGGTCCTGATCTGAGTTCTGACTAGTTGGCAGTGCTTTAAATGTACTGATGTAAAAAGAACCTAGCTGACCAACTGACACTTTAGTAACTAATACTAATTTCTCCTTCTTACCTTGCATTTTCCTCTTCTAGTACACGGAGGATAATTTTTTTTTAGTGTTTCTGACCCTCCCTCCACTTTTTGTTTGTATTACTATGTGCTCATGGATCCTTTTCTTGTTCAATGTTATATTCATTACTGTCATTACTCATTTTAATACTGACATGGTCCTAGGTTTGGCCAGTGAGAGCTCTTTAGAGCTCCTGTCTTTTTGAAATACCCCCATTAATTTTGAGCACTTCCTTATTTTCTGATATCCAAGCTCATCTTTACTCTGAAGTCAGCCATTTTTCCAAGAGCCCTAACTCCTTTGTCGTGAACCATAGCTAGAAACCAAGATCAGTTGTGCTAATTATTACCAAGGGTGGTATTGTTTCTAGGCATATATATATAGTATACACATTATATACAGTTTTTTCTTTAACAGGATCATGTTTTTATTACTAATTCCAAATTTTTAAGAACCTCACAGGATTCTCCTTTTCCTTATTCCATTCCATGTTTACACCTCCTTTCTTCCACTAAAGAAACCAACTCCCAGTAACATCATAATTTACTCATTTGTTCAACCTAAAATACACACAAAACATGTTTCAGAATTACTATACCCATGACCACTACCACCAAAAACTTGATTCTTTCCTTTTGTTTTTAAATTGTATCTGAGAGTATATAGCCTAAGCACTGTACAAAAAAAGGTTTAATTCCACCCCCCATTGTGTGATAATGTTACTACTAACTTGATAGGTTTGTTTCTCTTTGTATTGAACTTTAGGGTTTTTCCCTTGTTTTCTTTATTTGTAAAAATGTGGTAGTATGCTTTATTCTTGAGAGAAGGTATTGATTCTGTGACAGTATTCTATTGAAGTCATATTTTCATGAGATCAAATAATTTAGGAAGGAAGGATATACTAGAACTCCTACTGTGTGCTAGGTACTTTATGTATGACTGCATTTAGTTGTCACAAAAGAATAAAAAACAATGAAGCAGTTATTATAAACTCTATTTTCAGATGAGAAAACTTGGAGAAATTTGGTAATAAAGTCCTACAGCTGGTAAAGGACGAATATGGACTGTGAACCCATGTCTATCTGACTCCAAAGCCAGCCAGCCTGCCTGCCTGCCTATCTATCTAGTTCTTTACTTATTTATTTTTAGAGAGAGGGGAGGGGAAGGAGAAAGAGAGGGAAACACCCATGTGTGGTTGCCTCTTGCATGCCTCCTGCTGGGGACCTGGCCTGCAAGCCAGGCATGTGTCCTGACTGGGAATCAAACCAGGAACCCTTTGATTCGCAGTCCAGCACTGAATCCACTGGGCTGCTGAGCCAGAACTATTTTTATTAACTAATATTCACTGAGTGCTTATTAAGTTGTTGGTAATGTGCTAAGTTCATTTAAGCCTCAAAAGAACATCTTTTATTTTTTTTCCACCCTTTACCAATAGGGAAATTTAAATTTACACTATCATTAGATGATATGTAGATGAAATTAGATGATAGTAGACCCCTATTACGCAACACTACAGATCACTGAATGAAAATACAACAGATCTAGTGTAGTTTCATGCAAACATCTCCAAGCCACATCATGAAATTTTAAATTTACAGTGCAGAATACATGTTTTGAAGGGGACTGAGGTGTCATTGTCCTATGTACAATGTTTATTGTATCTTTTATCTTCTTCAATAAATGTCTCTTTTTCGTATTACATAGCTGGATACCTTGTGGATAGAATGTGTGCAGTCAATTCTCATTATTCACAGATTCCATATTTGAGCAACTACCCAACTAAAATTTATTTGTAATCCTACAATCAATACTTGTGGCACTTTGCAGACATGCTCAGAGCAGCAAAAATTTGAGTCACCACATGCATATGTTCTCAGCTGAGGTCGAATTAGGTGATGTTCTGCCTTCTTGTTTTAGCTCTCATGGTATAAACAGTCTATCAGTGCCATGTTTTTTGCACTTTTGTGCCTTTTTTGGTGACTTCACTGCTTACAATGGCCTCCAAGTATAGTGCTAAAGTGGTGTTTTGTATTCATAAGTGTAAGAAGGCCGTGATGTGCCTTATGGAAGAACTTCGTGTGTTAGGTAAGCTTTGTTTAAAAATGAGTTTATAATGCTGTTTGTTATGGGTTCAATGTTAATGAATCACCAATATCAATAGAGAAGTAATGTACTCTTAAACAGAAACACATAAAGCAAGGTTATATACTGACAGGCCAATGAAAATGTTGTGCCCAGAGGCATGCAGGAACCTAACTCTGTATGTCCCGGAGGAGGAATGGTTCAGTCTTCACTAATTCAGCATTCCTGGTGACTCTACAGGATGTAATTACGGCAAATGATGAGGACCCACTGCATCTCTATGTCTGTGTATATGGTTGTGTGTGTTTGTGTAAAGATCTGTCAGGTATGAGTGGATACATTTGAGGAGTGGGGAGAGACTGGGGAAAGTTAGTCAAGGAGAATGTTAAGTTTTATCTGTAGTCAATTAAAAAAAATACATTAAGGAGGGGTAGGCCACTAGGAAAACTCAGCAACAGTGACATGCTTACTTAAATGTCAGAGCTAGGACAAGAAAAGGTTGTACTGATTCTAAATCTGTTTCATCCTAATCGCTGTTTCTCTCAGTTCATTTTCACCATAAAATGAAATGAGAACTAATCAGAGTAGTGAAGATAGGTAAAGCTCAATGAAAGGTAGTAGTTAGTGGTTTAAGAAATGAGCTATAAACCCAAACTACTAAAGTTTGAATCCTGGTTTTGCCACTCACTAGCACCATCCCTGGACAAGTTACTTTAGCCTCTCTGTGTCTTAGTTTCCTCATATATAAAAGGGGGTCATAATAGTAGCTACTTCATAAGGTTACTACAGAGATCAAATGATTTATGACATGCGAAGTACTTAGAATAGTACCTGGCCCCATAGTAAGTGCTCAATAAATATTAGCTATCACTTTATCACTAGAACCATGACTGAGGACAATGACTGCTCTAAAAAGAAAGCAACCTACTAGGAATATATATTTAAGTTAACATCCTACACAGAATTAGGTAGGTTTTCCTATTTATGGTGTAGTAGTAGTAGCAAAAATTCTCATTTCCTCCTAGATACAAGTTTCTTTATTTATACTTCCTATACTAATAATAAACATATATTATTATAGAAAAAGCACCTGTAAACAAGTGAGTTACAGACAGGAAATTGAAGAAAGTATCTTGCTGAAATCTAAATTTGGTGGGCCAAAAGGACATAGCAAATTCTGTGAAATGTTAAAGGCACCTTATTCACAAACGTCACGTAGTGCCAAAGAACACCACTTGAGTTTTAAATATTTATCTGAATTCATGCTTGCACATCTTATTTGGACTGCAAAACTTATAAAGAGAGATATGAAAACCAAAAAAGGTGGTATGTTCTATAGACCAGATTTCTCCTACTTGTCACATACCTTGCTGAAAATATGCTAAATTGATCAAAAGCACAATTTCTGGAGCCAAGACACTGATCTTAAAATTAGCAAAATGTCTGAGTTCAAGCTTAAAAGTGGCCATGTCCACCAGAAGCTCTAAACTAAAGATCAGTAGAGGTTATTTTTTTGAAAACTAAGATAATGCCAGCTACTTATAAATCATTATTTTTCTAATTCTTTAAATTATATATAACAGTAACAAATACTTTTATTTAATTCTAAGTAGTTAGATAAACTGGATTAATTCTGAAAGAAGTCAAAGTTAGGCTGAGGCAAATTTTTTCTTAGAGAATTTAGAAAATGAAATATTCAGTTTATCTATACATTAAAGATGTATACATCCATACAGAAAATAATCCATTCAATTTCACTCCTATGCAGAGTAAAGGTAAAAGAGTCTGACAGAAATTGAATGAGAACAAGAATCAGGAACTCTAGATAGGTATGAAACTTATAAAAGGTACTTTTGTTCATAAACTTTTATGCAAAGTATTTCTTATTTATAATATATCAGGTTTCTTCTTATTAAAATTAGCAAACAATGTGAATTTGATCCTCATCCAAATTCACCAATGATACAAAGATTATATTTTTAAGGGAGTTAATAATAATAGTACCGTGAATGGATCACTTACTGTTTTATTTTGCTGTTTTCTATAATTATTTCACTTAATTCTTCCAACAACTTGAGGTAAGTACTCTCACTGTCTCCATTTTATAGATGAAGAAATTAATGATTAAGAAGGTGACTTGCTCAAGGTCGATTTTAAAATTAGCAAGTGACAGAGCTGATATCTAAACCTAGGTTCTAACTCTGGACCACTATACTATGTTCTCATCCTTAACTATTAAACATACTGTCTCCCTTCAGACAAAGTAAGAAACAAAACCCCACAGGAATTTTCCCTTTTGTTATTTTTTTCTATTGTGTTTGTATTGTTCCCAGTGCATTTGAGGGTTGTTTGAAATCCAAGTAAAACAAACTGTTCCTGACAAAATACATTAGCCGACAGTGAACAGGGCAGAGACAGAGGAAAGGAGTTAAGCTAAAGATAAAATACTTGCTGACAACAGCCTAACATATTTAAATGACTGCCAAGAAGTTCTTGTTCTAAAGGCTAAATGCAAGTCAGTCAGAGACATGTTAGTGCTGCCCACCAATAAAGTAAAAATAATAGCTCTGGGCTGCTGTTTCTACACATAACAAGGCACATATAAATTTAAAGTAAATACCTATGTGCCAGGCTCTCAATTCATGTATCACTAAATCTGTTTAAATGATAAAATTCAAAAGGATATGAACTTCTAAAATAATCCATCACGGAGCTGAGATTTCTAACAGCCTAAAAACATTTTTTTTTTTTTAACCGTTATGTATTCCACTGTATGGGGTAGTCAAAACAACTATCTAAATTATTAGGAGAACCTACTGGAGTCATGCTTTACAGGAGCAGTCTGATCAGTGTTGCTCTGCGGAAGCCTACATATTCGGGAAACAGAACTCCATACTGCAGTTGCCTTGATCAGTAGAGAAGACTTAATTACTTGTTACAGAAAAAGAGAGGGCAAGACCCCAAGGAATACTGCTATTCTTTCCCATCCCAGTGAAAAATACTACAATTACATATGATTTTTTCCCCTCTTTGAGATATGGTTCACCTTTAAGAGACAAAAGGGCAAAGAATAAAGAAATTAAGCTGATACCTCAAGTGTTATTTTATTCCAGAGATAAAGAGTAGTACTTATATTACATATATCAGAAAATGTCAATACTGTTATTCAACTCTTAGGCACATAATAACAGCACTGTCATCATTGGGATTAATATGCATTCACTCCATGACCACATTCTACAATGACAAGAAAAAAGCTGGAAATTCCCGTACTGCAAAAGGCTACTTACTACCTTGATGAAAAGTGACAATATAATAGTCACTTACCCTAACAAAAAGATCCTTGAAAATTCACCTGATTAAAGCTTTCGGTTCTCGAACTTCTACAAATGCCCCACTTTACTACAGTCTAGTTTACTCTAATAATTCATTAATACTAAATGAGAGTACTCGTAATGAACATCAGTACTCCTGATGTTTAAGAAACATCAGTTTTTGTTTCTTTAAGAAACACTTGAGTTTCAAGTAGAATTTATCTTGAACAATTAAGATACCAGTATATAAAAATTCCCATTTTCAGGAAAGAGGGAATTCATTTTCTCTGGTCCCATAAGATCTATTGCATTGCCTACCCCATCACCATTCTGTTGACACCACACAACTCCACAAAGAACAAACTGAGAAGAAAAATCATTCAACCAACAAGTGTTATCTCATACTAAGTACATCAGTAATACAGCCTGCATTTTAAAACAATGCTGTACAAGTTAATTTATTTTGATCATGCTTCTATTGCCATCTGTTTGCATAATGACAAAGCAATTGGTGTAACAGGAAAAGCAAATAGATTTATAAACTGGTGACTAATGCTTGGAAAATAACCTTGTAGCAGGTTATTAGAAATTTTGCATTCTACCTTGAAACTTGCTCCATTGTTCAGAGAAACATCTTATTTGACGTTTCATTTATTTTATTTTTTAAAAGATTTTATTTATTTATTTTTAGAGAAGGGGAGGGAGGGAGAAAGAGAGAAGAGAAATATTAATGTGGGGTTGTAACTCGCATGCCCCCTACTGGGGACCTGGCCTACAACCCAGGCGTGGGTCCTACACTGGGAATCTAACCGCCAACTGTTTGGTTTGCAGGCTGGCGCTCAATTCACTGAGCCACGCTAGCTAGGGCTGATGTTTCATTTAAACAACACTAAAATCCAACTTCCCATATGCTAAGGCATCTGGCTGAATAAACTATACTGGAATACTTACCTAGAGCTGTAAAATCTGAAGCAGATTTGAATAAAGCTGAAGCGAGGAGCTGAAACTGTAAAAGAAAAACAAAGCGAATTAACTGGCTAAGCACAGTAGAGGGAAGTAACTTCTCTAATTTTGACCATTTATTAGCCACTGTATGTCTCTGCACTTAAGTCTATTTAGCAAATAGTAGGAAGAAGAACACCACATTTAGATTAAAGAATATGCTGACTTCTCTGTTGGACTGTTCACCTTTTTCAAAATACTGGAACAAGTCTTGGAATTATTTTAAAAATTTAATAAAATATGTATTTATTAACATACAACTGTTCAACTGAAATAAAGAAGAAATTTACTCATTTGGGAGTCTCGCGTATGGATAGATTGGTGCCCTGGACCGTTACTGAACTCTTAGTACATATGCATTCTCATTTCAAAAACAAATACATATACTGTAAAACACCTGTCTCTGCTGTGCACATCAAATTTTGAGTAAAAAAGCATGATTATTATGTATAGGCCATCTGTAAATTACAAATTAGACTAGGGTTCCATGATCATGTACAATTACATTGTTAGGTTATTATAACAGCTCAAAGGCCTTTTTTACACTGAAATAACATTATAAATGTTGATTAGAAAGGCTAGCCAGTCAGTTTAAAAGAGACACTGTAACTGAACAATGACAAAATAAATACAACAATACTAATGCAAAACTGGTAATTTAAAAAATTGGTAAAACTGTAGAACTATTTATATTTATTTTGAATGAGTATATGGGAAAATAGGCAAGTTAAAGGAAAGAGGAGACCAATGAGTAGAATCTCATGGAGTTAACTTGGCAATTTGCAAGACTTGAGCAGTTGATATCTCTGATTACTCAGGATGTATGTTACACCTATGCTTCCAGCCTTTAAAATTTCAAGTATCAACCATATGAATATATGTAAGTCCTGATTAATAATCCTTTGAAGGTCAGAAATTGGACAAATATTCCAAAAGTAACAATCTAAGCAAGAGTGAAGAAAACAGGAGAGGAAATGAAGAGTTAAAAATACCGGCATGGGCAAAACTAGGTTTACAGTTTATAATACACTTAATACAGTAACGATACAAGAATAAACTGCTTCGCATACCTGCAATTGTAAACCTACTTTTGCCCACCCCACATATACAACAGAAGTTCTTCATATACGCTGGGTATCAGTCCTCTGCCAGAGATGTCTACTGCAAATATTATTTAGTCTGTGGCTTGCCTATTTTTAATGTCTTTTAATGAAATTTTAAAGTCTAATTTATCAAGTTTTTTCTTTTATGATTAGTGCCTTTGTGTCATGTATAAGATATATTTGCCTATCCCAAGGTTGTGAAGATAGTATGTTTTATTGTAGTTTTTTTGTCTTGGATTTTATATTTAGATCCATAATCCATCTTAATTTTTTTGCGTAAAATGTGAGATAGGGGCTGAGATATCAATACCATTTGTTAAAAAGACTTTCCTTTTCCCGAAGGACTTAGGCATTCTGGTCAAAAAAATTAAAAAGTAAATAAACTGATTCCATAGATGTGAGTCTATTTCTGAACTCTATTCTGTTCTACTTATCTATTTAACAGTGTCCTGATTACTATGGCTTTATACAGAGTTCTGAAATCAGACAGTATGAGACCTCATACATACTCTTTTTCCAAGACTGTTTTGGCTAGTGCAGGACTGTTGTGTTTCCATATAAATTTTAGAATCAATTTGTCTGTTTCAAAAACAATTAAACCCAAACTTCCTGGTATAGGGTCTGCATTAAATTAAAAACCAATATGGGGAGAATGGGCATCTTAACAATTTTTAGTCTTTCAATCCATGAATGTGATATATCTCTTCATTTATTTACGCATTATTTAATTTCTTATAATACTTATTACTACACATTTATTTTTTGATATTAATATAAGCAGGTTTTTAAATTCAGCTTCTAAATGTTCATTACTAACATAAAAATAATTTCTTCTTCCTACAGAACTTGAATTCTGTAACCTTGCTAAATTCACTTAGTATATTGTTCTGTAGACTACATGGGGTTTTCTATACATACAATAATGTCATCCACAAACACAAACAATTTTACTTTTTGCTAATCTATATGATGTTTATTTCTTTTTCTTGCATGGTAAATAAAGAATATCTGTTGACATGTTTTTCATAGATGCCCTTTATGAGATTTAGAAAGTTTCTTTCTATTTCTAGTTTGATAAGAATTTTTATCATGAATGGGTTTCAACTTTTGTCAAGTGCCCCTTTCTTCACTTATTGAGATGATCTATGGTTTTTCTCTTTCACTGTCACAGTAATAAATGACTGATTTTCAAATGTGAAACCAAGCTGTATTCTTAGGATAAACCCTCACTTGGCCTATGTAAATTAATCTTTTTGCTGGATTTAAGTAGCAAAATTTTATTAAGAATTTTGCACTGCCTTGACTGGTGTGGCTCAGTTGGTTGGGTGTTGACCTGCAGAGCAAAAGGTTGAGGATTCCGTTCCCATGGAGGGTGCATGCCTAAATTGTGGGCCCGGCCTCTGGTCGGGGCATTGCGGCAGGCAATAGATCGATGTTTCTCTCCCTCTTTCTCCCTCCCTTCACCTCTAAAAAAAATAAATGAATAAATATTTTTTAAAAAGAATTTAGCATTTGTATTTATGAGGGGTACTGGTCTGTGATTTTCTTTGCCTGTAAAATCTTTGTTGGGTTTTACTATCAGAGCTCAGCTGCTTCATAAAAGAATTTAGAAAGTGTCTTCCTCTGGTTTCTCAGAGTCTGTGTAGCAATGATGTTCTTTGTAACGTAAATGGTTGATAGAATTTACTGATAATAGCCACTGAGGTTCAGAGTTTTCACTGTTAGAGAGTTTTCAATTACAAATTCAACCTCTGTAATTGACATAAAGTTACTTAAGATGTTTCTAATTCTTCTTTTACCTGGTTTAGTAAGTTGCATTGTTTAAGGAATTTGTCCATTTCATCAAGTTGAATTTGTTGACAAAATCATTCATAATACTTCCTTATTATCTTTTAATATATGTACAGACTGTAATGGTTTCCCATTTTCATTTGTGATGTTGACAATTTATGTTTTCACTTTTTTTTTTTTTTTTGATAAATCTTATCCAGGGGTTTACCACCTTTTTTCACCATTTCAAAGAACCAATTTTTCACTTTTTAAATCTTTTCTATTGTTTGTTCCTATTTCACTACTTTCCTTTCTTCTACTTATCTGAGGTTTCAGGTATCAAGTGATATTATTCAATCTGAATAAATCCAGACTTCTTCCACACTCAGACTTGACTATCCAACTCTCACTTCACCACCTCAAGTTGGCTGTATCATAGGCATCTTAAACTAAACATATCCAACATTAAACTCCTGACCCCAGTCAGGAGTCCCCACCCACCACCACAAACCAGGTCTATCCAGGGCATTCTCATTTGGTTGATAATAACTCCATCTACCCAAGACAAAAATTCTGGAGTCATTTCTTTCAAACCTTATATCCAATCTATCATAAAGTCTGTTCTACCTTTAAATATTTTGAGAATCCAATTTCACTTCTCACTATTTCTACTACTACTTGGGTTTAAGCAACAATAATCCCTTCAGTTTTCTGCAGTCTCCCTTATAGGTCTCTCTGCTTAAATCCTCATTCTCCTTCTTGAGTGTATTCTCAGTACAATAGCAAGAGTAACCTAATTAAAACATAAAGCTGATCATATCATTCCTCTACACAATACCCTGAACTACCTCCTCATTTAGAGTCAAAGTCTCAGCAATGGCTTGCTAAATCATTCACAATCTGATCTTCAATCCCTGCTCTTACCTCTCTGAACTCATTTTTCTTTTGCCTCTCGCACACCCCCAACCAAGGGACCTGGCCCAAAACCCAGGCATGTGCCCTGACTGGGAATCAAACCAGTGACTGACATTTCAGTTAGCAGAATGATGCCCAACCCACTGAGCCCCAACAGTCAGGGCTCTGACCTCATTTCTGACTACTCTTGCCCGTTTCACCTCTGCTCCAGCCACAATGGCTTCTTCACTGTTTTCCTAAACAAAGCCAGAATGCACACAGCCTTGTCCTAGCCCTCCCTTTGCCAATGATAACCTTCCCTAAATTACTGTCTTAGATCACTTCTTCATATCCTTCAATTCTTTGTGAAAAAATCTCATTTCTAAATGAGGTCTATTGTAATTGTCCTACTTAATACTGCAACTTCCTATTTCTCACTCCATAGTATTCTGATCTCCCTTTACCTTAAAAAAAAGAAGAGATTTTATTTATTTATTTTTAGAGAGAGGGGAAGTGAAGGAGAGAGGAAGAGAAACATTAGTGTGTGGTTGCCTCTTACACATCCCCTATTGGGGGCCTGGTTCGCAACCCAGGCATGTACCCTGACTGGGAACTGAACCAGCAACCCTTGGGTTTGCAGACCAGCACTCAATCCACTGAACCACACCAGCCAGGGTCACTTTACCTTTTTTTATTCCTCTCTACCTAGGAGATGCCTGGCATACTGTACGGACTCAAACTGCATCTGTTTAATGAATAACACCAGTACTTTGGAAGCTCAGCAGAAATGTCTTTAATATATAATGTGCAGTATTAGTTGAAAACTTGTTTTCCTTGCTCCTTCTCTATTACAAAAATCTCTCTGAAAGTGGTAGAGTTGATTTAGGCATACTTTTCTTGGGCTTTTCCTAGGAAAAAAAATGTCATTTTCATAAGGTTTACTAGAAGCTCATAATTAATTTGGAACCATGTTCTGGAGACCAGACAAAAGCAAAGAACAATTATTTGGTATACAATGGTAGTCTACCATCATTTCCCCAATAACAGTCAGGGTGTTGATCACCACCATAACGATAACCACCCCCTAAAAAAAGAAAAAATCTAAAAACCACTTTTAGTTGCTAATATAATCATTTAATATAGTGAAGATTTTGTAAAACGTACACTGAGAACAAAAACAGGCTTACAAGTATTTATGGATAAAATTTTAAGAAATAGAATGAAAGTCTGTGGCACACAAAATCAACATTTGAGACTATTAGAGAAAGGAAACACACAGAAACCCACTACCAGACTTTTAAAATTTGCTATGTTTGAACTTGAGATACTTTCCTGTCCTGGTTTTTCCCATTAGCTTAGCACTGAGAACAAACTGTCCGTTTTCCTTGGCCTACTTGCAGCTCACACAGCTGAAATTATTTACTTGGCAATATTTTGTTTTGGTTTGGTTTTAAAAAATAAGAGAAAAATTAATGTTCCCAGGTCATAACCATTTTAGACTAACTTTCAAATGCATGGTCTAACAAAATGAACATTAATGACCTATTTACAACTATTTTCAGTTATAAACTGTACCAGATTAAATCAAATATATTCTGCTACTTGGCAAAACTGTGATAACTGCCCCTTTTTAAAATAGTATCGTAAACTGACTGAAGACTCAAGGAAAGATAATTAAGTGGGTCCCTTCAGCGGGGCTCTAAAGTGCATCCTGATGATTCTCCACCTAGTGAAGGGTATAACCAATACCAAGCAAGAAAACAGGACTTATTTTCACAGTAAGCAACTATGAAAGAGTATTTCTTTGTTTTGGCACCAAGGATATTCAGGCTCCACTGCCTGAAAGTACAATGAACCTGGTGCCTGAAAGTGATTCGATATTAAACTTGAAACCTGTGTCAATGCTAAACAGAGAAAAGCACCACTTGATGTTGCTATTACAAAGCCAGAGCAAAGCAACAGCTAACAGGGAAATAGTTATAAGGGACAGAACTACATGTAATCAGCACCAATTCGGAGAGTGGACTGCAGTTCAGATGTTGCTAGATGAACTATGAATAAGGATGGTTGGCAAAAGGAAAAAGGGATAAAAGGGATCTCTGAAGTTAGTAGGAAAACAGGCCATAAAACCATGAAATCTGTTGCAGGTATAGTCACACAAACAATAATATTAAATCTTCTGCTTCCATCCATGTTATGTAACAAAAAAAAAAAAAACAACAAAAAACCCCAAAAAGTAATCATTTGCTACTAATTTCTCAAACTTAAGAGATTATGGATGAGTGAAGTTAGTAGCCTATAGTAAAACTGTCCTGCTACAACATTCACATAAATAAATATCAAGGCAGCAAGGACTCTACTTCCACCAACCTCTTTCCACTTTCTCCTACTGAAAAGGGGAGTATTTTTTCTTCTCTTAAAGTATAAACAAAAAACTTTATGTTGAACCATTATGTAACCCCTGAGTAAAAGAAGCATGGGACTATGAAAGTAAAAATTTCTGTTTCCTTCCCCATAAACAAAAGTAATGTCTAAGTTAAAACTTTGTATCTGAGAATCCTGGTCTAAACTGATTGGAGGGCAGGGCGGGGGGGGGCGGGCGGGGAGGGGCGGGGGCGGGGTGTGTGTGTGTGTCTGTCTTGAATGTTGTATCACATGAAAATGAGCCAATTCATTTTTATTTAATTTGCTTTGTGCCACTTTTAATGTTATTGGTGTCATATTTTCCTTTAAACATCTACGAGCAAAATCAGCAAATAAAAAGTTGGAAAGACTTTTTAAAAGCTCAATTTCTGAAGTTTATTACCAACTTTACCTCTTTTGTCTCTTCTGGGTCTGAATGATCCACAGTTATATAAAGATCGTTTTGTAAGTATTTCAGTGCACTAAGAGGATCCATTTGAGCCTTTTCTTCAAACCTAGAAAATGTAAACAAGAAATAATTGTCTGGAGTTAAAAGAAAACGTCAGAAATGTCTGTTGTAACTTAACGGGAACATTCTGTATATGAAGAGTTAGTGTGGACCTAAAAAAACTGCATTTGGGAATCCAGAAATAAGAAGAGTTCTATGTAAACAGTATAAATGTGGAGTCCTTGAGATGTAATGGTAATGCCAGGTAGTCACAGGCAGGTGTGTTCCTAGGGACTGGGTAAGAGCACTTCCTACCCTGTTCTTAAAACTATAAGCTAAGATAGCGCTGGCTGGTGTGGTTCAGTGGATTGAATGCCCTGGCTGGTGTGATTCAGTGGACTGAGTGCTGGTCTGTGAACCAAAAGGTCGCTGGTTCGATTCCCAGTCAGGGCACATTGCCTGAGTTGTGGGCCAGGTCCCCAGTTGGGGTCATGTGAGAGGCAACTGATCAATGTATCTCTCACACATCAATGTTGCTCTCCCTCTCTTTCTCCCACTCTTTCTCTCTCTCTAAAAATAAATAAAATAGAAAAAAACTATAAACTAAGATAAAATCAACTTCAAAACAGTAAATATGTCAAATATTTTGCACAAACTGCAAAAAAAAAGCTAAAAATGTTTTATAAAAATCAAGTAGAGATAAAATAAAAATATTTGGTTAGATTTGTGTAGTATACTCCCACCCACCACTGAAGATGTTTAATAGATACTTTAGAAACAGAAATGAATACAGCTTCTTTTAATGAGTATCATTAACACTAGTAAGATATTTTCAATGAGACTATTTCCACACCTCAGTCAATAATAACAATAACAAAAATGCAGCAATTTATCAAGCATTTGTCATGTGCTTGACACTGTATCAAGCATATATCACCTTGTTTATCCTCACAGTAACTCTAGGATGATGATAAGTGTTATTGTCATTTTGAAAATAACAGAGGAGAAACCGAGGCCCCCAAAATGAATCTGGCTAACACAAAAGCTAGTACGTGGCAGAAGTAGAATCTAACATGGGTCTATCTGATTCCAAAGCTGGAAAGGAAAGAATGAGTTCTCTTGAAAAAAGTCTGTTTGGGACTATATCTATGTAAATAAGAAAACATCATATTGGTATAGCATAATTATATATGGATTTATTATAAATAAATTTGTATGTTCTTCAAATATACACAGAGAAAGAAGAGACATTTCATTTAGAAAATGAAAATAATAAGCCTTTCACAAGCTGCTGGCATCAATCATTTCCTGTCTTTAGAGCTAATCTCAGTGACAGTGTTACCTGTATTTCAGGCAGGGGCAAAGACGAGGAAAATATTACAGCTCTCTTGTACCAGAGAGTACCATGATTGTCAGCCAGCCTTACAACCTTCACAGGAGTTCCTTAGGCAGAGCTCATGTTACTCGACCATCTTGTCCACAACTGATTAGACCGGAGTTTTGGCACTTGAGCCAAAAGCAATCGTCTCAAGCTTGATCAGCAGTTTATAAAGCGGGCTGGCAGAATTATTCCAAATAGGGATACTCTCTCAAGGGAAGCATCTTCTAAGAAGATACTCTCTCTTAGAGAATCGGAATGTGAGACATACAGGACACATAAAAGGCAGACAAAACAGAGAAGGTAATAAAGACAAGAGATGATAGATTCCTTCCTTCCCTTCCTTTCTTCCTACCTATCTATGCATCAACTGAAGCCAAAGAGATTAGTTACTGATCTATCCATCCATCCATCCATCCATCCATCCATGGAAGTGATACAGCTGAGGGCAAGCAGAGTCAGGAGTAACCATAAAACAGGAGAAGGCAGGAAGAAGCAGAAACAGAGAGACTCGGTTCTAAGAAACACTATTGCAGTAGCTCCTAGTTATTAGAACTGTTCCAGTATCCTAAACAATTCTCCATTATGCCTCACTGATCAAATGCTGAGGAAGTGCTTTAATTCTCTGGATAATCTCATAATAAATTCTCTTTCAGAGAGGTCTCCAAAGTATGTCTTTCTCCTTTGCAACCTGAAATAATCTAACCAAAACACACCTACTATCCTATTAAATCCAGTAAAGAGATCAATTTTCCTGAGAGTTATGTTTTCTCTCTTCTTTTTCTAAGCTTTTTTTTGGCCTGCAAAAATTTATCACTGGATTTGTGTTTGCAGTCTAGAATTGTATTTCAGCCAACAATTCTGCCCTGTAAAAGTAACAAGAATTAATCCAATAATATTTTTTCCCTTTTGTCCCTTTCTATACCCCAATCATCTACAAGTTTGGAAACTTGAATGTTATAAAAAATTAGTAATAGTGACATTTTATTTACTGTATCAGGTGGCATTATTAAGAACCAGGAGATACCTTCTTGACATACGACACCCCCCCCCAACAAATTTATGCTTTAATGAAACAGTAAATAATTATTTTCTACAACAACAACAAAAATATATAAGCCAGCCTAGCAGTACAGGGTAAGCTTATTTATAATTAAAGACCTGGTATGTAATTTAAAATGAAATTTGAATTAAAAAGGTAATTTTCACATTCTACCCAATTCATAGAAAGCAGCTTCTATTTATTCTGCCTGCAATATAATAATGTCCCCCAAACTCTTTAATTCATTTAAGAGGGAGGTGGGAGAAAAGAGGGTCTATGTTTTTTCAAATGTCTGAGACAGACCTTTTATTGTCAGTTCAATTTAGTAGATAAGACCCTTAACATGCCCTGGAACAGTCATCCTTGACAGTTCTTTTCTCATATCTGTATCAAATCCATCAAGAAATTCAGTTGCTGCAACCTTCAAAGTTTATCCACAAATACTGTACTTTCTCAGTCTCTCTTATGGAGTATCTCTTCCTCCACCTTTTGTCAAATGGTGGCGGTCCTCAGATAATGCCCTACATCCCTTTACTTCTCTCACTCTACCTGAGCGAGCTCCTTTTCCTTGCTGAAGACTCACAAATGTAATACAGCCCATGCCTTCCCCCCAGTGCTAACAGATGTTCTCTAAAACCTACAGTGCACCAAACTGAACTATATTAACCTGTTGTTTCTAAAGAATTCCCCATTTGAGTAAAAATAGCCATGACCTTTTACTCAGTTCTTCTGGAAGAAAATCAAGAATTGTTTTTATTAAAAGCTAAGTCTGAATGTGTCACTCCTCTACTTAAAATCTTTAAATGCTGCCATTTTACTCAGAGTAAAAGCCAAAAGACCTTTATAATCTGACCCCTTTTTATCTCTCTGACCTCATCTCCTACTATAATCACCTCACTTATTCCAATTCTACCATACTGTCCTCCTTACTTTATTTCTCAAATAATTCAGGCATAATTTTAACCTCAGAGCCTTGTCTATTACCTATTTGGAACATCTTTCCCCTCAAATATTTATATGATCCACTCTTTCATGTTCTTTAGGTATCTATGCAAATATCATCTTTGCAGTGAGGTCTATTCTTAGTCTTATTGAAAAATCACACCCCCAGCTCCCGCACCTGTAAAAAAAAAAAAGAAAAAAGAAAAAAAAAGAAAAAAGAGGTTCTTACCCTGATTTAGTTTTTTCCTCACAAAACTTAGTAAAACATAAATTCATTATTATGTTTATTTTTAGTATCCCTTGATTAAAAATGGAAACTTGGGGACAGGAACGTCTGTCTCCTTCACTGACATATCTACAGAACCCAGGACAATGTCTAGAACAGTGAAGGTGTCAGTAAGTACAGCGCCTGGCAGAAGTAAGGCTTGCTTGAGTGTGGTTGGTAGGGTACGTGAATGTCTTGCACAAATGGACAGCAATTTAAGTATTTCACCTAAAATGTCACATGGTGTGTCTGAGAGTAATATTGTTATGTTACAGAATTAATATGCTTATGATTTTGTAATTAAAGAAAGGGGCATTATTTGTGCCAGGCCCTGTATTTCCTTAATGAATAGTTTTATTGATGATTCTAAAGACCTTCAGGTGGTTGCTCTCATCATTTATACATGAGCAATGTAATCTCCACCAAGATTAAGTTAGAAGGCTTGAATACCAACCCAAGGTTCTGGTATAATACTTTTTCCAATATAGCTCTCAGCTATAGAACAAAAGGCAAAAAGCAAGCAAAGTCCAAAAAGAATATTATGTTCCATATTTTTATGCTATTATTAATCTAATGAAAAATCTAGCTCTGGCTATTATGGTTCAGTCAGTTGGTCATCATTCCTCAAAGTGAAGGGTCACTGGTTCAATTCCCAGTCAGGGCGAATGCCTGGTTTGTGGGCCTGGTCCCCAGTCAGGGAGCGTGCAAGAGGCAACCAACCTATGTTTCTCTCTTGCATCAATTTTTCTCTCCTTCTCTTTCTCCCCTCCCCCCCAATAAATAAGCAAATAAATAAAATCTTTTAAAAATAATCTGTATAAATGAATACTCTATATAAAAGGGACTTTAACCCCCCCCCCCTTTTTTAAAGGATCGTTAAAAGGGGGAATTCTTACATTTCCTTTCAAGTGCTCTTCTGGTTTAAGTTCTGAAACGAGCTAGCACACTATCTTTTCCCCAGCAGAAAATTTCAAATGTTGATTATTTGCCCAACCACACAAACTTGCTGCCTTTCACCTTTAATTACTTTATTTCATAACTCGTTCTCATACTCACCACATTTGCTAGACTTTCAACAAATAGATTTTATTTACTATTTGAGAGAGAGGGGAAGGGAGGGAGAAAAAGAGGGAGAAAAACATCAATGTGTGAGAGGCAATGTGCAACTGCCTCTTGCATACCCCCAATTGGGAACCTGGCCCACAACCCAGGCACATATCCTGACTGGGAATCGAACTGGCGACCCTTTAGTTTGCAGGCTGGCATTCAATCCACTGAGTCACAGCAGCAAGGGCTCACCATATATTTAAAAGTGTAAATGATTTGTTACTGAGAATTCTTTTATTGTTTATCTACTTTCATTCCTTACTCTACGTCTTTACTACAAGTAGCTAACAATAATGTTTATACTTAAAACATGCCATAATACATAATATTTCAGATGCCCAAATTGTCATTTCACCTGCCTACTGATATATATTTTAAAAGAGAAAACGACTGCCAAAAATAAAAAAGAATACTACTTCTCAAGATGGCTGGGCTATGGGAAGAACAGCAAATGGTAATTCACCAATTCTACCACTTTCCTACAAAATTTTTAGATAGAGGTGCATATAGAAGTAAACAATATTATTACCTACAGTAATATTAACTATAGCAAATAAGCTGAGAACAATCTAAATAGTCTACAAAAGGAAAGTATTACTATATTTTGCCGTTTACAATGCACTCCTGTGTATAATGCACACCCATGTGTCTGGCCCAAACTTTCAGAAAAGAAATCCATTTTAATTTCTTTATTCATTCATTTATCAGAAACAAAACCAATTATTGTATTCCAGGGTATTATTTTGCATACAGGTATCATTATTGCTTTCTAGAGTTATACTTTTAATGCTTAAGCATTAATAAAAGAATTACTTTATTTTTTTAGTGTCTTTTTAATTAGTGGAGACAATATAACCATGATTATTTAAAACTCAAGGAAGTATAAAATCATTGGAAAATACTCTTGAAAGGAATGTGATCATTATTATAGCAGACTTTTATTAAAAAAGTTTATCATGAGATTGTAATGAGTTTCTCCCTTTCACACATAAAAAAAAAGAATTAAAAACATTTATATAGATTCGTTCTAGCCATGTATAATGCTCATCCTTATTTTTCCCTAAAAAATTTGGGCAAAACAGTGTGCATTATACACGGCAAAATAGGGTAAGTGAACTACACATAAAGTAGAATGCTATGCAGTCATTATAATTAAGATATGTACTTGTATTCAATATTTATTACCATAGTAATATTTATAAGACATCATTCACTGAAAGAAACCAGATTCAAAGGAACATAATCCCTATTTTTCAGTTAAATAAAAATCTATGTGTGCACATACAGTTCAAAGGATATACACCCAAATATTAGGTAATTACTTCTGAATGGTGTAATGATAAGAGATTCAATTCTTTTGGTTCGGAGAAAGGACCTATTTTTTTCTTTATTATTATCCATGCAATACTTTTTCAATTAAAAGCCAGAGGGAAGTATTTATAAGTGAGTTCCAATTCTTTACATATAGCACTAAACAATATCTTTTCATCTCTACTAAGCTTTTGGTCAGGAAATTTTTAAAAAGAGCTCACTCCAATATTCCAACCATCAATTGGTATATCTGAGGTAAAGAGCTCCATAATTTCCCAATATCCTAATAAAAACAAAGTTTAATATTAAGTACCTTAAGTTCCTTAATATTAAATAAAGTACTAAGGAATAAAATTTAGCAATGTAAATATTAATTGAAGGTTCCTCAAGCTTAAATTTTGTTAATAAAACATAATTTGTCTCTTGCCATCTAGATATTGTGAAGATTTAGACCCTTTCTCCCGCAGATTCTACAGAAAATACATTAATCATTCACAGTAATGCCAAAGAAACAGAACTAGCTTCTATTATTATCTCTCAAGCATAACTTGTGAAGGCAAAGAAACAATGAGTAAATATATGATAAAGGGACAGTCTAATTTATACCCACACAGACTTTATGTATTTATATTCTATATAAAGTATATATAATAAACATATAAACACATGTGTATATACATATACACGTGTGTGACTGTGCGCGCGCGTATGTGTGTGTGCATTGTGCTGGTGGTGATGAAATGAAGAACTCTTGAAGTCAGCACACTTCGGATCAAGTCCTGCCTCTGTCACTTATTGTTGAATGACCTTAGGTGAAATATATAACCCATTTAAAAATGCCTTAATTTCTTCTTTTATAAAACAGTGATAATAACATAGGAATAAAACAGTGATAATAAAGTAATAGTAGTACTTTACTCCACTGTCTTGTGAGAATAACATACAAGATCTAGCACACAAATACTGCTCAAATAAATGGCAACTATTATCATCATTAAAGGTTGAACTTCCCCTTACATGATATAAATTTTTATCATCTAACACTATCAGTAACCAAAAGGACAAATACCCTTTTCTACATTTTTTTAGTAGTTTATCACCACTAAGGCTAAAAAGCAAAAATGACTAAGGAGACATACATGAAAATGTTTGATTATACACTTTTGCAATTAAATGGCAAAGGTAATTATGTGAAACTGTAATCGTATTTGAAGTTGCATTCTGAAACATCAAAATTATGATGATATTATGAATCAACTATATCATCACATTCACAAAATTATCAACAGGTCAGGCATATGACAATAATCTAGAACTGATGTAATTTTTGTGGTGGTTAGCCCTTGACTTACTTGATGGTAGGTTAATCAACTTCAGAGGACTTTGTTTTAAAAAGATTTATTTATTTATTTTTAGAGAGGGGAAGGGAGGGAGAAAGAGAGGGAGACTGACATCAGTGTGCGGTTGCTTCTTGTGTGCCCCGTACTAGGGACCTGGCCTGCAACCCAGGCATGTGCCCTGACTGGGAATTGAACCGGCAACCCTTTGTTTCACAGGCTGGCACTCAATCCACTGAGCCACACCAGCCAGGGCACCTCCAAAGAAACTTTTCCCATTATTTATCAGTTGAAAAATTTCTTTGTTCTTCTAGGTAAAAATTTTAGCATCAGTGTCTATCTTCATTTTGTATCTTCTTTTGAAAGAAGAAAGCAAAAATAAGGAGAATAATGGGACATTTTCAAAAGCCATGATCTTTACAGTGTTTACACTGTCATGTTACTAACTTTCCAAAGACCAAGTCACATCTTCAAAGCTTAAGTAATACTAAGAACAGCTTATAAATATAAATAAGAAGTTTTCAGTGAATTATTTTTATACCTGTGTTTTCTTATGAGGTACTTGCAATGCCTCAGTAAGTAATCTTTTGAAGGTCTACACAACTTCAGTGACCAGAAGTCATCTAATCTCATTTTTGGGGAGCAAGATTTTCCTGGATTCCCACCAAATAAGTAATGAACCTATAATAAACAAAACAAACCAGATTTTTTAAATAATGCATGCATACTTAAGAAACTAAGTCATAGTAAAATTTATTCATTTTGCTAGTACTGTGTAACAGGTAACCTCCTTAGCCTTACTCATATATATATATAAAAGTCAAAATATGGTTTATTGCATTTCCACCAAAGGCTTCTCTCGGTTTTTCTCGTTTCCATTTTACTTTAAATAAATGTGGGTACTCCCTTAAATTACATTTTATATTAAATAGGTTCTATTACCAGAATTACACTGACAGTAGAAAACATGGAACAAAAGCAATGATAGTGTGGAAACCTCAACTAAAATTGAAGTGAGGATAGATGATAGAAGCCAATTACCTACCACTGGGAGTCAATTACACTCATACTGGAGAAAATCAATTACAGACCCCATGAGAAGTGGGGTCTTTTCATTCCCAAACAAAAAAATGTAACTGCTTTACTACCCGAGCAGGAAGAAGAAAGATCTTCTTCTTGCCCAGCAACAAGCTCAGCCAACTGAAACTCTGTAGCTCAGCCAATGAGAATACGGCATCACCTGAATTCTTACTTTCCTCCATGAACTTTCATTTTTCTCTTTATGATGACTTCCTTGCCCCACTCCCATGGTATCTTTTACCTAAAGGTCTCAAATGATACAAAATTTAAATAATCACTGTGGCCTAAACAGAAAGAATACAGGTTCTGTCAGTAACTTACTATATAATCTGAGAAATAGTTCAAGAAACCATCTTGAATGCTAACTGACACTAAAAGTTCAGAATCCCGGACTATTTTCACAAGTTGGATGGAAAAGAATATGTTATTCATAGATAGGAAAAATAAAGATAAAAATATTTCTTACACAATGCAAACTTAAAATCAGGAAGTTATATATACCCTTTCATATCATGGGACAAGGCACTGAAAACTACATTTTTTACTTGAATATTCATATTGTAGAAACAACAGGCCATGGTAAAGTATCTGTTCTATGCAGCTACGAAGCAGCCACTGACCATTTTCAAAACAGGACAGTGCTGGGTATTATGGACTATACAAAAATGTTTATTCTCTTCAGGGATTTTAGGGAAAAATGATATTTCGTATCTGTTATATATTCTCTTAAATGTCTGCTGTATATTATAACTTTTTACTCAAATCCACTTAAAAATAATCAGAAACATATTTTAGGATTCTTTCAGATTGTAGGTCATGGAAAATTTACAGGTCAATGTAGTTAGGATACCTTGTGTAACTCATCATATACAAGCTGATGTGCAAATCTTGGACACGGTTCTTCCTCCTGAAGACTTTTAGTTGGATTATCCTTTGCAGCCTGATCATTTTTATAGACACAAGACCTGAAAGACATTGCTTTTAAGGCATGCTATCCTAGAAAATTAGCAGTACACATAATGTTAATACAATTATAGAGAACAAATTAATCACATGTCTAATTACCAACTAATTATAAATATGTTTACATAAACTCTTAAAGTTCTGGTCATTCTATAAAATAATATGATTTGTTAGAACTGAGTTTTGAAGTTCTTTTAATGTCCATTAAAACTTTGCTTAAGAACAACTTCCCCCATGTTATGAAACAAGACGTGTATGAAGGCTCAAACTGAAGGCTAAAAGAGCTAATACTCGATCTATTCACAATAAAAATTACAGTAGATTGTTTTCATTTTTACTGCAAATAAATGTTGTATTTAGAAAATAATAAATTCCTTAGTTGCTGAGCACGACCCTCCATTACTGAAAAGAAGTTCTCCGAAGTGTCTGTTTTATAGAATATTCACTTATGCAATAATCACAGAATGTTACACTGGTGTTTTCCCAAACTAGTATGTGTAGCAACAGTTCTGTGAGGTGCTCTGTGACAAATAGGTCCTGGTTTGAAAACACTACACAATAAGGTTCCTACCCCCACCCTGCTCTAGTCAAACTGTTTCATCTTATAAAAACCTAAGAATTGGGAACATTAAAAAAACATCGTTCTCAAGTTCACACATGTACTTAGTAGAAAAATCTAGACTAAAATACAATTTTCTTGGCTTCCAGACCAGGAACCATCTATAAATTGAACAACTCAAATGTAAAATCTACTCACTAAATGTCATTGTATATATACAGGTACTAATTTTGACTTTTTTCCTCCAACACTGGCACCTAAATATATACATCAAAATTAACACAAGCTTTCCAGTTCTTTCTTCTTCTGAATAAACCAACAACCTCCAGTAAATGTTATACTGGAATTGTAGCACAGGCAAGAACTCCTTACCAACTATTCCTCACTATGTCATAAATCCAGAATGAATTTCTGACATTCTCTTCCCTCTTTTCCTTGTCTTTGCTGAGTCCAGATAAGACATGTATTTCATTCAGTTCTGGATCAATGGTTGCTCTCTGTGTGAATCCTGTCATGGGAACTATAAAATGAAGAAAAAAAATAAAATGACAATATTCATATTAAATAACAGATAAGTGCTACTCTGTTAAAGATTTATACATCCTTACCCTGCTCTGTAGTAGGGCAGGGCCATGGCATTTATTTTCCAACACACTACATAACTTTTATAGTAAACAATAAACAATGGTTTACTATTTTCTCCCCATTCTAGACTATTAGTTCTACAAGGGCTAAGGTTGTTTGGTTCACTATTTTTTTCCTAGTGCCTAAAATAGGGCCTGGCATGTAATAGTCATCAACTATTTGTTGACAGAATAAATAAATGATAACTACCAGACTGGAGCTAGAAAGAGGAAAGAGGTAGAAGGAAGTATGCAATGTAATCATTCCAACTGAGGAAAAGAGCAACACTTTAACTGATTTATTGTCTGGGTCAGCTCTACTTTAATAGTAGAGATAAAAATATTTAAGTCTTAACTTGGAAAAACAAAATTTGACAAAACCTAAACGGATTTGTTTAACATGGTCAGAGTCACTTAAAATACAAAGTCTGGCACAAATAATGCTCCTTTTTTAAATTACAAAATCATAAGCATGTAATTCTGTAGCATAACAATATGACACTCAAGCACCCCATATGACATTTCAGGTGAAATATTTAAATTAAAACTATAAATTATTACATTTATTACCCTACCCATCACACTCAAGCAGGCATTACTTCTGCTAGACCCTGTATTTGTTCAACAGGTACAATGAAATAACTTAATTTCCAAGAAAAAAAATAAAACATTTTGGTGCATAATATGCCCCAAATATGTTTTCCTGAGTGGATCAAACTCCTCAGAGTTAATTTTTTTTTTAAATGAAGAAACCCATTAAATGAATGATGATCATCATTCATTACCCAGAAATCTGTAAAACGTTTATATGGCAAATTCAAATTGTTCTCATCATTGTCATTTGGAAATACTAGTTGAAAAATAATTTTATGGTTTGTAACATAACTGCCATGTGTTTAAAACAACGTCTGTTTCAACAATACATTTCTTATAGGTGAACAGTGATCACATTCTCAAAAAGCTAAACAAACATCAAACTAAAGAAAAATATTTCAATCAATCCAGAATACTATGGTAGGAGATGGTAGCCATACTGATCTTCATTTGTCTTTATCTACTTTAGTAAGACCAAATAATTCTGTATTTATTTTTTCCTAATTTACCTTAAATTCATGTGCCCTTTTACATTCCTATTCTATAAATTTCTTTGAGATATCTTAGAGACTATCGACATTCGTATAATAGTAAATATATTTAAAAATTACACACACAAAACCACAATATACAATTTGTATGCATCCATACACAAATATACATATTTATACATATCCATACATAGATTTAATCTTAACAATAACCTCAACCTTTGTGCCATATTCCTTAGCGGTTATATAAAGTCTGGCATTTTCTTAGTAAGACGTGGTAAATTTTCAAAAGTACCAAAATTCTGACCTCTATTCCTAACATATCCTTGGAAAAAAGATAAAATTGTAAAGAAATATAATCATTACTTATTAGTGGTGGAAGTGGAGGACTTAACTGCCTAAATCTACTGCACTTAAATTTCTTTGCCTCATTTTGACTAAGTCTTTGAATTAAGAATTCTATAGCATGGGTTGGCAAACTATGGCTTGATCTGGCCTGCCCAGGGTCACAAGAGGCCTTTACCCATTCATTTACATTTTGTCTCTGGCTGTTTTCATCCTATAATAGCAAGGTTGAGTAGTTGCAACAGAATGCTTATGGCCTGCAAAACTGAAAATATTTACATATGGTTCTTCAAAGAAACAGTTTTTTGACCCCTGTTCTATAATCTTTTAAAATGTAAATATCAGAGATTATGACATATAAACTAATGCAACAAACTGCTTACCTTAAATAAAGACCTACTGAGGAAGTGGAAATTTTTACATGGAATGAAAATCAGTAGAGAAAAAAAAAATTGAATTCTATAAAGCGGAAGGTGGAGTCATCCAAGAGAGGGAATTAAAGTATTGGGCTGAGGAAGACATTTAAGGATGTGAAAGATTGTAAGATCAAGTTGTATGTTTCCTTTCCCATGTTGCCTTGAAGCATCTTAGTAGCAGAAGAGAAAAATGAAAAGGTTTGCTTCTCAAAAAGAGAAGCAGTGGACAGGTTTACCATATTCAGGGATGTAAGACTACCGTTTACAGACATAGTTCACATACCATGAAATTAACCCACTTACAATGTATAGCTTGGTGATTTTCAGTATATCCAACAGAAAACTGTCATCACAATCTAATTTTAGAACATTTTCATTACTCCCGTAAGAAATCCTGTACCCATTAGCAGTCACTCCCCTTTCTCCTTCACATCTCCTCATAGAGCACCTGTATCATTTGACATGTCCGACAAGTTAAGAACATTCTAATTTCTCCACATCCTCAACAACCTTTGTTACTGTCCATCTTTTAAAATACTACAGCCATCCTAGGGAGTATAAAGTGATATCTTTTTTTAAAAAAAAGTTTATTTATTTATCTTTAGAGAAAGCGGAAGGGAGGGAGGGAGAAAGGAAGAGGAACATCAATGTGTGGTTGCCCCTCACGCATCCCCTACTGGGGACCTGGCCCATAACCCAGGCATGTGCCTTGACTGGGAATTGAACCAGTGACCTTCTAGTTCACAGCCCATCATTCAGTCCACTGAACCATACCACCCAGGGCTATGAAGTGGTACATTACAGTACTTTTGATTTGCATTTGAATGACTAATGATGTTAAATACTTTTTCATGTCATTATCAGTCATTTATAGCTCCCTTGAAGAAATGTCTATTCAGTCCTGGCTGGTGTCACTCAGTGGATTGAGTGCCCCAGCCTGAGAATCAAAGGGTTACTGGTTTAATCTCCAGTCTGGGCATATTCCTGGGTTACAGGCCAGATCCCCAGTACGGGGCACGTGAGAGGCAATCACACATTGATGTTCCTCTCCCTCTTTCTCCCTTCTCCCTCTCTGAAAATAAATAAATAAAATCTTTAAAAAATAAAAAAAGAAATGTTATTCAAATCCTTTGCCCATTTTAAAATTGGGCTATTTGTTTTTTTATTACTGAGTTTTAAGAGTTCTTTACATACTCTGGATACACATCCCTTATCAGATTTCTAATTAGCAAATCCTCCCCCCCCTATTTTATGGATTATCTTTACACTTTCTTCTTGGTATCCTTTGAAGCACAAATGTTTCTCATTTTGATAAAATACAATTTATCTTTCTTTTTCTTTTGTCACTGTGCTCTAGTATTGATTTTGTGCTAGCCAGAGTTACAGTGACATAGTAACTCATCATAACGTGCTAAGTGCCTAAACCAAGACATTGTTCTTCAAAGCAAAAAATGAAAAACTGCAGCCAAGTGAAGATATTAAACCACTGGGTTCAGTATTGGTTTCACATTATAAAGTTATTTCATGTCAATAAATCTTTCATCTTTACAAATGGTAATAAAATTCTATAGGGTGTAAAAGAAATAACTATCTTGAGAGAATGCTTTCTTTTTAATAGCATTAGCACCAGAACTCTTAAAATATTTTTATTACATTATCCATATTTATAAAGTAATTTCCATCTTAAGAACATCTGTTTGGGGTTACTTTCCTATAATACAAAAATCAGATCTGTGTGTTTAATAGGTTTTTGAAGGCTAGCTTGCGAATTTAAATACCAATTCGTATTGGAAACAAAAGGGAATAAAAGTAGAATATCTTGTTTTAGTCTAGACTTTCCCAATTAACTATGGGTGAGTTCACTAAGAAACTTTTTGGATCTCAGTTTTCTCATTTAAAAATTGAAAACAGAGCTACACAAAGTATTGCATCTCTTCAAAGTTGAAATTTCTGTTGTTAAGGTAAGACTCGGAAGGGTGAGAACAGTGATAGGATGAAAATTTGAATAATATTAAACTGGTATTAATGTGCAACATGAATAGGCAAAGTGAGAGACTTGAGATACAGAGATCAATAAGAAGGCTGGTATTAAAATGGAGTGAAAATAAGGTAGTAAAAAAATATCAATAAAGAATCATTGTATCCACATAATATCATGAGCACAAAAAGGGTTGATATTGTAAGTATGAAAAATCCCTGAACTGACATAACAGAGACAAAGCCTGGAGCAGAAACCTGTGGAAAAAGAAGAGTAAAAATGCTTTGCTGAATTTTTTTTGGAGATACCCAAATATTTTATTCTAAGAATACACAAAGGCGAAATCTCTGAAAGGCAAAATTTCTATTAATCCTTACATCTGAAGAACCTACAGTTCTGCAATGAAATATTATTTTCATTGCATACTACAGACAGTGAAAAATGTTTATGTACCAAATGTTTTCATGTGGATAGAAAAAATATGAAAGCACACACACCAAACTATGAATAGTAGCTGGGGAGGAGGAAGGTTAGGATCTTTTACTTCTTACTATATAAAATGAATTTTTCTAATATATATTGCTTTTATAGTTACAAGAAGGAAAATAACCTCCAAAACAAAATACAGAAAAAAATATATCTTGATGGAAAGGTTGGAAGCTTTTAATAGTAAGTGAATAATTTTCATACATCCTTCCAAATTTCTCATGAATAAAAATTACATTAATATTTGGAATACTGTTATTCAGATAGAAAAGGAAATTCAGGTTTCAAAGGACAGTTTTACTGGCACACACGAAAAAATGTCTTTAAACCATTTTGCTGGCGTGAGTTACTAGGTATTACTTTATAATAGTTAAGGACATGCTGATGCCCTATAAACATCAGCATGAATTCAAACTTACACTGAATTATCTATGTTAATGGTCTTTTACCTAAGTTTTACAAATTGCATTTAATCTTAATACTTCCATTCCATTCCATTCCACATACAGTAACAATTCAAAAAAATTTCAATAGAAAAATCCAACGAAAATAAAGTTTTCCATATCTACCTTCAAAAGCAGTCTAGG